AAAACATTTATCATCCCATAATAGACACGGGTACTTATTAAATAAATACTAGTACTTAATGTTTAATTGAACTTAACTGTTCTATTTGGACTAGTCATAACATTATTATATTTTTTTTCTAGTAAAAGTTATAAAAGATACCAGTGTCTAATAAATAAATAGTAGTACTAATGAATAATTGGTAGTGCTTATTGAATAGTTACTAGTATCTAATGAGTTGGTACCAGTATTTATTTAATAAGTAGTGGAATCTAATGAATAAGTACTAGTATCTAATACGTAAGTACTAGTACCTAATGAATAAGTACTGGTATCTATTTATTAGGTACTAGCAAGGATGGGCAAAAATACATTGAAATGTATTTTTAAATAAAATGCCAACTACATCAATTTTACTTGTATCAAAAATAAACTACAAAATACAGCAGCCAAAAAGTATCAAAACAAAATACTGTATTTTGTATTTTGAAAATACTACAAAATACTTTTAAAAGAGAGCTGGACATTTCATTGCAGACCTTTCACCAATAGGCCTATTTAATAAATCCTCTCACTGTTATACTGACTAAGTGAAGTATACAATGATTAATAACATCTGCTTTTCTCTGAGCAGGTTTAAGTCAGCTACTCTGCCAACTCCTTCACCTCTACTCCTGAACATTAGTATAAACATTTGTTTCCTCATTTTGGTATAAATCACTATGTGATTTACTATCACTATGCTCAGTAGGCTATATGTGTGTGTGTCAAACATTTTGGTAAATTGCATTTGTTTGGGTTGGTTATTTATTTGAAAGAAAGAGAAAACAATGAGAAAAAATGCCTCACAGTAGTTGTTTTCCGTCCTATTAGATCACATTTTTTTTAAATGATCAGTCTAGGAGGTGGTGCTGATCGACAACAGTTTTAGTTTAAAGATATTAAAAGTGAATAAAATAGATTAAACAATCGTTTCAAAGCTGTCCAAATGTTACTGTTTATGCGCATCAGCTGCCGACTGGAAGTTCTAAGCATTCTCCTTGCGCATACATGCAAAGCAAAATGGGTGATTTTGTGTTTTAAGAAAAAGGTCTATATCATAACTAAACTATATTATGCTGCTATTGTAATGACACTGTTATGACACTGTAATTACATTTTTATAACATGCAAATACAATGTTAAAACATTGACATTATATAACAATGTAATTACAATGTTATTACATAGTAATTATAATGTACTCCATAGTAATTACAATGTTTCTAAATAGTAATTATAATGTACTGACATAGTAATAACAATGTTATAACAATGTTTTAAAGACAGTAATTGCAATGTTATTACATAGTAAATACAATGTAACAACATAGCATTTACAATGTTAAATGCTACAATGTCATAACAATATAATTACAATATTATGTCATATACATGTTATACCATTGTAATTACTATGTCATTACGTTATATTTACGTAATAACAGCATAAGCACAATGTTATTATAAAGTACTGACATAGTAAATACAATGTTATAACATTGTAATTACATTATTATAGCATTGTGTTTACGCTTCATAGTAACTATGTAACAATATTAAATAGTAATAACATGCATTTACAATGTTATTAAATAATTATTACATAGTAATTGTAATGTAATTATAATGTAATTACATCTAAAATAAAAGTTTATAATTACATATGTACTGTTTATATTTACGTATATGTATAAACAAATACTGTAATGACATTGTAATAACGTGTAATGTGTATATTTACGTATCACACTTTAAATACACAAATACTATACATGCAATATACAAAAAAACATTTACATTTATAAATATTATTTTTGGATGTAGTAACAATGTAATTATTATGTAACTACATGTGTACATTACATGTGTACTGTGTATTTGGCTATAACTGTAACAAACACTGTACAAAACATCTACAAAAACACATTTTCAATACAGCTATAGATGTAACTACAATGTTATAACATATGCATATGGAAAGATATCCCATAAGCTGGAGGATTTGACGCTGGAGACCTACCATGTCCTAGAACGATTCCGGAAGCTCTTACAATGCTATCATGGCAAATTCCACATTCGATTCACTTTGTCAGAATTTTACCAAAGTGTGGCAGAGACTAGAGGTGGGCATTGTCACTAGATGAACAATTTCAGTGATCTTGTATTCAGCAGCAATTAATCTTGTCAAGTCAGCAGAGAAGTTGCGGCATGGAGCAATCTTGTCCAATGGCAACAGGCAGGTACCTAAAAGAGCATTTATGGAAGACCTCACCATAATGGCAAAATCAGTACCTGAAGGGTGATGTATTCTAGAGGATCTTGTGGAACTCACTGATTGGGCATGGATATAGTTTAAACCTGAGAAGTCCAGGAGCCTTGTTTTGAGGAGGGGGTGCATTCAGGACCGATTTCGGTTCAGAATAAAAGGTACCACCATCCCAACAGTCAGAGAGAAACCAGTTAAGAGTTTGGGGAAGTGGTATAGGGCAGACCTTAATGATAAGGCAAGTGTGAGGCAAATTATTGTCCAAGTAGATACCTGGATGTAATCTTTAGAGAAGAGTGGCCTACCTGGCAAATAAGGCCTGGGGTTACCAGCATGGAGTACTTCCTAGACTGCTCTGGCCTCTACTTGTTTATGAGGTGCCTGTCTCTACAGTGGAAAGACTAGAGAGGAAAATGAACTCCTATCTTCGACGGTGGTTGGGTGTGCCAAGAATCTTCTGCTCCATTGGTCCATTGGTATAGCACAGGCAGCAAGCTACAGCTACCAGTGACATCAGTTCTGGACGAGTACAAAGTAACGAAAACTTGGCAGGCCATAATGTTGCAAGACAGTAAGGATGGAAAAATGCGCCTGCTGTGTTTGGTCTATGATGTTCTGCCGACTCTGTCAAACCTTCATATCTGGGGGATGGTAGAAAGGCCAAGCTGGTCACTACATGGAAAGCAGGCAAATCTTGAGCATGTCCTATCAGCAAGCCAGTCAAGTTTGGCAGACGGGAAATTCCGGTGGCGACATAATAAAATCCTCTTTCAGTTGGCGGATGGATTGGAGCAAGCAAGGAAAAGATGAAACAAAATTCTAATGGGCATTGCTTTATTCAGTTTATTAGGTCAGCAGAGAGCGCTGCAGCAGGACAAAAGAGAGGAGGCGTTCTGGCCTCAGCATAGGATTGCAAAATGCGGGCAGACCTTAAAAAGAAGCTTAAATACCCAGAGGAAATAGCACACACTAGCCTCAGACCAGATATTGTCCTCTGGTCTAGAGGAACCAAACAGGTGGTGCTTATAGAACTTACAATACCCTGGGAGGACAAAAAGGAGTAGGCCCATAAACGCAAGCTCAAAAATTATCAAAGTCTTATACTTGAGAGCCAGGAACACAGATAGAGGGCGTGGAATTTACCAGTAGATGTGGCTTGTAGGGAGTTTGCGGGGCAGTCACTCTGGAAAGCCCTCGCACTGCTGGGAATTGAAGAAATGGCCAGGAAACGGCTTGTAGGAAAGGTCACTGAACAGGCGGAAGTAACATCTCACTGGATTTGGCTACAAAAGGAGGTTCGGTGGAAAAGCCAACCTGTTGAAAGACATAACATATCCTAGAGTTGAGTGGGTGGTCAGCAGGAGTAGATCCAGGATGCTGGATCTGCTGTCGAGCCCTCCCTAGGGGCCATGGGCTTAAATCGGTGAAACACCAAGGAAGGGGGGTGCCCATCTGATGATCAGCTGTAACCACCAACCCTTATAAAGAGTATATCCCTAACTCACTAACTGGTGGTAATGGAAGAAAGTAGGAGGGGAATTATGCCACTGGCCCACAGTTGGTGCAGGGCGGAGTACCTGTAAAGGTGGGCCAGTTGCGATGGTCCCATGGTATTTTGCATAACTATGCAATTACAATGTTATTACATAGTACCTATAATGTAATAACAATGTGAATACATACAAAAAAGTTTATAATTACAAATGTACTGTGCATATTTTCATATAAATACAAAAATACTGAACATGAGTTATACAAAGAATCATTTTTGTATATAAATCAACAAATCAACTTAAAGTAAATGAAGTGTGGGGAGAAAACACAAACTAAGGCTGAATACAACAAAATGGAGCACAACTCCATGTCTGGACAGTCCCCGTCACTGAAGTGCTGCAGCATCAGCTCTTAAAAACACCGGCGGTCAATGATTTGAAGGTGCAAAGAAGTCTACTCAATCAAAAACACAAACAGCAACAAAACGCTAGAGGGTGACAAAATAGCAGAAATAAATATATACTAGAATGCAACATAAATATAATCTTGGATAATAAAGGCAAAGCTCTCGATTTACTGGTCAATCTACTTTCCTACTCTCATCTATGGTCATGAGCTTTAGGTCATGACTGAAAGGACAAGATCTTGGATACAAGCGGCCGAAATGAGTTTCCTTCACAGGGTGGCAGGGCACACCCTTATAGATAGGGTGAGTAGCTCTGTCAACCAGGAGGAGCTCAAAGTAGAGCCGATGCTCCATCACATTGAGTGAAGTCAGCTGACGTGGCTGTGGCATCTGTTTCAGATGCCTCTTGGACGCCTACCTAGGGAGGTTTTCCAGGCATGTCCCACCGGGAGGAGGCCTCGGGGAAGACCCAGGACAGGCTGGAGGGACTATGTCTCTCAGCTGGCCTGGAAACGCCCCGGGATCCCCCTTGAGGAGCTGGAGGAAGTGTCTGGGAAGAGGGAAGTCAGGGGTTCTCTCCTAAGACTGCTGCCCCCGCGACCTGGCCCCGGAAAAGCAGTAGAAAACGAATGAATGAACAAATACCAACAGAATAGTTTCAAAACGGCTTGCCATATTGGTAAGTAAATCGAATATAAAGAGTGAATGAGCATCATAATGCAGACAATGCCATGTAACATTATAAGATATGGAATATTTATGAACATTCTATCAAAACAGCATTTTTAAAACTAATTTACATGACACGATTAATAGTTTAAATACAGAATATACTTTATTATTTTCATTTAGACATTTATGGTACATATAAAACAGATTTTCAGTAAAATTACGTTACTTTAATATGAAAATATTTGTATTAAAATAGCAAACCAAACAGAAAAAAGAAGAATGAAAACAGTGAACCTTTTCTTCTAAATGTAACAAAACAGGCAGAATTTACACATTTACTGTGCTCAAATCCCTGAATTCACACGATTACAGTGCAGCTTAATCTATGGGAGATTAATTCTTCCCCCAAAGACAATAAATATTATCAACCACTGTGTTAAGATGTCATGCATTCATCACTTAATGTAGAAAACAAAATTACAATTCATGTAAACATTTTTTTACTATAAGCAGCACTGATCCTTGGTCTGTTTTCAATTTTAGAAAGTGTGCCAACAATTTCATTTAAAGAATAAATTGTGTGTCAAGTGAAAATACAATACATGTACAATACAAAAGAGCAATAATTGTGCAGGTTTGTTCCTTCATACTGGTACTTGGGTCTGTCTGGGTGGGATTGGTTTGGGGACTCCAGGTCCTTGTCTGTAAGATGGAGAAGAAGGTCAGATCAGTCATGAAAATCTCAGACATTGATTTGAAACAAGAAAGTCAAATTATGTTTGTAAAGGTTTTTTTTTTTACTCAATGGTCAGGCATCCTATTTTAGTGACTACCGGATTTAATGTACAAAAGTAATTTTATATGTGCAGCTCAAGGAAAAATTATTAGCTTTCCTGTGAAATATTTATTCTTCTTCAAATAATTATCAAGTAATATTTAAATGGCGCAAGAACATTTTCACAGTATTTCCGATAATATTTCTTCACATTTGTTTTATTTTAGCTAGAATAAAATAAGTTTTTAATAATAATAAAAACCTCTTAAAGTCAATATTACCCCCTTAACAGTATTTCTTTATCAACTGGCAACAGAAGAAAAAAAAAACATTATACATTGACTTGAATAATTACCCTAACTTGCCTAGTTATCCTAATTAACATAAGTTTTTAAATCACACTTTAAGCTGAATATCTTAACAATATCTAGTAAAATAAAATGCACAGTCATCATTGCAAGGATAAAATAATTCAGTAATCAGAAATGGGTTATTAAAACTATTTTGCTGTTTTAGAGATGTGTTGGGCAAAAAATGATCTCAGTAAAACCAAGCTTGGGGGGAATCTAAAAGAATTCTGAAAGAATATAAAAGACTTCAACTGTATATAAGGCGTAGTATCTTTTAGTAAATGGTCTACTTTAAAGGTTGCAAACCACTATCATGTAAAGAAGATGTAAAATGTGGGTGACAGCATTTCCATCATTTATTGTAACATTATATTTATGTAAGATGGAAACAGCATTATTCTGACCTGTACTGATATTGAAATATAAGACAAATACACAAAAAAATTATGTCTGCAAAATTGTTGCAAACAATTTAAATGTGTTGAATTTAAACAAATAAAATTTAGTAATGTTCAACTTAATTTGTTTAAATTCAGCCCAAATAAATTCTTTACAACCAGAAATTTTATTACTTCAAGGAATCATCTTTAAATATTTTTTTTTCAGTGTAATGGTCTGAAGGATATTTTTGAAGTGTAAGGATTTCAATCATTCATAAAGGCAGCAACACCAACACTCCAAAAATAAACACTTATTAACTTTAAAAAGCTATCACAAAGCGTGTGACGTTTTGAGCACCGGCTCTCCATCAGACAATATTGATCACAGCATGTTTCTCTTTTATACACCTTTGGATCCTATGAGCTACCACATACAGTTGAAGTCAGAATTACTAAACCCCCTTTTAATTTTTTTTTCTTTTTTAAATATTTCCCAAATGACGTTTAATAGAGCAAGTAAATTTTCACAGTATGTCTGATAATATTTTTTTTTCCTGGAGAACATCTTATTTGGTTTATTTCGACTAGAATAAAAGCAGTTTTTAATTTTTTTAAACACCATGTTAAGGTCAAAATTATTAGCCCCTTTAAGCTTTAACTTTTTTTTTTTCAATTTTCTACAGAACAAACCATCGTTATTACAATAACTTGCCTAATTACCCTAACCTGCCTAGTTAACCTAATTAACCTAGTTAAGCGTTTAAATGTCACTTTAAGCTGTATAGAAGTGTCTTGAAAAATATCTAGTCAAATATTATGTACTATCATCACGGCAAAGGTAAAAGAAACCAGTTATTAAAACTATTATGTTTAGAAATGTGCTGACAGAATCTTCTCCGTTAAACAGAAATTGGAGAAAAAAATAAACAGGAGGGCAAAAAATTCTGACTTCAACAGTATAAGTGTGAGTGTAAATACCTAAAATGATAATTAATTCGTATTTTGGGGCTGAATGTGATATTTTTTTAAATTAATATTATGAAAACATTCTTGTTGAAAATTTGGCCAACATTATTTTACTGTATCAAATATACTGTTAAAATAAATTACATTTTAGTCTTCTGTAACGCATGGTAAAAATGCACATTTTGCTCAGGATAAGATACAGTAAGAACCCTAACATTTTAACCACATACCTGAGTAAATTGCATTGCATGATTCATTTAAATTCTCATTATGCATCTGAAAGGAACACTACTAAAATAATTTATGCCGTAAGGTCAGCTGCAAAAATGTATGACCATGGCTTTCCAGCACTCATATTTCATTGCATGTCTTTATAAAAACCTTACATTATTATTAACCATAAAAAAGGTCAGCTCAGAAATTAGTAAATCTGTTTCTAAAGCTGTACAACATTTTTATTTTAATGCCTGTGAACTTTTCATCATTGATTTTTTTCTCCATTTTCTAAATTGATCATTATTATCGTTTCCCAGTGCAAAACCTACCACCACAATAGCTACAAAAGTATATTCTATACAGCTCTCTATTACAGCAGTACAATATTCTTCCAAGACGCTGCTATGCATTTGTGTTTTTGTAATATGTTATTAGGGTGTTTTGATTGGTTGCTTAGTCTTTAAGTCTATAATATTCTGGGTATGTTTTTAAGAGCGCATCTCCCTTTCCAAATATGCAGACAAACTTGGAGGTCCAGTTTCAGACCAAATATTTGAGACTAAAATTAGATTCATGGAAATATTCTTGACTGTAATAAGAAGTACAGTATGTTGCCTGAAACACCACCAATAAAAACAGACAGCACTGAAAATACTTGGGCCTGATATTTCTAGTGAATACCTTGGTTGGTTTACTGTGGTATCCTGTTGATACTTTGGATCAGTTGGCTGAAAAACAAATAAGCAAAAGTTATCATAATTATCTATTACTGACCTTGTAACTATACCAAATGCAACCTTGTTTAGCATTAGTGGCACATTAGAATAGCTGTCAGGACAAAGTATCATATCTCATCCCTAGATTGTTTGCACAATAAAGCACATATCTGTAGCCCTGTTTCTTTTCGAGTAATAATTCATTGTGTGGCAGTGTGGTAACCTGTGATTGGTGTGCTGTTTGAATTTCTGTCATCGACTGTGGAGCGGATGCTCTTGTTGTATTGCCATTAGCTTGCACATTTGACGGTGTGTTCGAAGAACCATTTGCTGCATTCGTTGGCCTGTTGTAAAACATTAAGCAAAATATTAATATCAGAAGATTTTAAACTAAATTCAAACATTTATTAATGACTAATGTACTAATCAGTTGCTTTACAATATTACAAAGCTGTATCTTTTCCTCAAGCCACTCACAATCAACTAGGGATTGATTAATTATAATATTTTAATATTCTAATAAAACCGGTCCCATTTTCCACTTAAACATCCCTCTTATTTCACAATGTGACAGATTATTACACAATAGCAGATCAGTGCTACACTGTAAAAAATGCTGGGATCTTCACAATTCCTTCATCATGTCACAACACAAACCAATTAAGTTAACTTAATAGTTTTACAAATTTAAGTGAATTGAACATAAAACAATTAAGTTGTCCCCAAATTAATTAGGATGTGTGTTGCTTTAATTGTTTTATATAAATAGCTTGTGCAATTAGCAAAAGTACATTTTTGAGTGTATTTGTCTTTTATCCTTCCCATGGCAACCTTAAAACCTGCATTGCTTGTGTTTATATACAGTATATGTACCAAAAGCAAAAAACAAAAACAAAAATGACAGTATAAAACATCTGATCATAGAAATATGGATTTCTTTACACCCGTTTTGAATTTCATCACTCTTTTCAAGTCATGTTGTGTTAATTTAACTTCACAATATATCACTTTGAAAGCAAGCACGTTTACTTTTTAAACAGTGCAGCTTTCAGGTAGAATTACAATGTCATTGTTTACTATAAAACAGCTTTCTGGTTTGTCCATGTTAAGTCTTAATCCGGATGATTATGCTAAGGAAATCACAGAGCCACACCTAACTCATTACATCACAAACCGGTATTAGTTAGAAGATGTTTACTAGTCAGAGTGCACATTTCTGGAAATATATTTCATCCTTAAGCTTAGCTTTGGTCTGGTTTTGTTCAAAATGACTTCAGATCAAGGCCAGGTTTCCCGATAAAGATGCATCTTGGCTCTTAAAAGCATTCTGTATGTGCAAAGTTAAAAATGCTCATTACAGTTTCACACGCATTTCCTCAAAGATGCATGTAAAATGATCATGTGAGAACTCGTTCCATGTGCTAAACTGCTGTTACACCTAAAAACCCATTCTTAATTCTTAGTGCCGTGGCGTTGCCACATAGGGGGGTAATGGTTTTTTTGAAGTGTCACCCACTGTACTTTGGAGTTGCTGTCCATTTACAAAATGCTGAAATATAACCTTATAAAGAGTGGTATCCTGTATGTTTAACGCAATAATAGTCATCTCATGTGGATGAATACAAATGTATATAAAGCACAGATATACAGACAGAGGCACTGGCAAAACGACTTAAAAAAATGTATTAAAAATGAAAACCTTGAGGGTAAAGAACACAAAGTTATGCATAAGAAATGCCCAATACATGCAAAGCTTTCATGTACATCCATGAAAGTCATTGACAGATTTTCAATTATTTATTTATTTATTTATTGAGTTCATCCATATTTCTCCATTTTTTTCAAACATATTTCCTAATTATTACAGCCCAGAGTAGATATCACTGCTAAAATGACTTTTATGAGTCCCGGCTCCAAAAAGTCAGAGAGTAAAGTCACTCTGTAAAATCTTATCCATCAAGATGCTGGCCAGAGCCAGCCTGTCCCGGTACTCAAAGACATACCACAGTGTTTCTTATTTCCTGGCAAATGATAACTTAGTTTAAATTTTGTGAATTCTCAAATCTGTGTCGCAAACTCCACGCAAATGACAAAGGACCTCCTAAAAGACTTCATCTTCCAAGCATCAGAAAAATATCACAGGAAGAGAGAGAGACCCAGAAATACAGGTATTAGTCATGCGTTTACACTGTGCCCTTTTAAGGTGTTTACATGGTGGTTCTTAATAGTAGTGTGAAACTGAATCAGATTTGCCATCCTTTTATCTAAACTCTCTATTTTCCTCGCTGTTTTATGTTTTTGTTGTTATGTGGTGACGTTTTTGTTATATGTTAGACTAATCAATAAATTACTTCATTACCATGTTAGATTGTCTTGAACCAGCGACCTTCTTGCTGTGAGGTAATCATGCTACCCACTGCGCCACCATGAAGCAGTCATAAATATTAATAACTTGTTATTATTAATCATTAACATTCATAAAATGAGCTAATTTCGCTACATGTACAATAAAATCCAATTAAAACATTTCATTATAATTACACTTGCACCTGAATAAAGTTACAGGTGTAATCTACCAATTGTCCTCATCCTCATTGCCGTGGGGCTTTAACGATTACTTTGTTAAAGTTACAATGCTTTTGGCAAAACAGACCATAAAATTAAGATTAGTCGCACAATCATTTTTACAATTTACTTAGGTTTATGATGATTTTGAGAAATGCAGGCCAGGTTGTATTATGATTTTACTTTAAATGTACAGAGCATGTTGGAGCCAATAGCCAAGTGGTACTTTGCGCCGACATAGTACAACATCCTCACGGCGACCCGAGCTTGATTCCCAGCTTTGCCGATCCTTCCCCTGCTACCAATAATTTTCTTAGAGCATCCAGCACTATTTTGTTGCTTTTTTTAAACAGGTGTTAGAAAAGTGCAAGCCACAGTAAATGTTAAAATTCCTGGTCCCACTTTATATTGTCGCTTATACCATAGACTGTAAAATATATGTAAAATATATGGACGTAGTGTCCGTGACGTCACCAATAGGTTTCTGAAGAGCGCAAAAGAAGCCACAAGTAGGCGCGGCCAACCGTCGCCATTTTGTTCACGCGTCATCGCACTCACGGTGGGATACCAAACAAGGGCAAAGAGGAGGAGAGTGAGCGGAGCTACAGACACCTGCTGGCATTTTGCTTGGTCCTGGCTCAGACACACTTTACTTTGGGAAAACGCTTAATACTTTTATCACCTGCGACTCGTTTGTGTTCTGACCACATGTGCTTGGCTGTATACTATATCAATAAAGTGTTTAGAATTTTAAAAATACTGTAGTAATACATTGAGCCACTAAACATTGTTCTTATGGCATTTTTCAACAGGAGGAAAACGCGAATTACTTCCAAACACTTCAGATATAGTCTAAATGCAAGACTATTGATAAAATCCAGCATAACACTGTATGATAACATTTCCCCTGACTGTTCTAGAGCCTACAGCTAATCAATCTGACAGATTCTGGAGTGCATTGCAGCTCTAAATATAAATATAAAAGATAAATGATCTTAAATAAAACAAATACATCTATAGAGATGGTATATAAGTATATAACTTTACTCACATGGGAAACAGAGGCAGCGTGAATGGTTTGTGAGCACAATTACCGGTAAGTGCACAAAGCATTCTATATCATCTGATAATTGTAGGAAACAAGTCCAAAAGGCAGTTGACTGTGTAAAGCCACATAAAACAACACAGAAATACGATAAATATGCCGAGATCAGTGGGTAATCTGCAGGATTCAGCTGAGGTGACGTGACGGCGACCAGCGAGACCTAGCTGTCACTCAAGTGGCCACGCCCTTAATTATGCAAACTTAATATAACTTAATATAAAGGAAACGGATGAGTTATAAAAAAATTTACCCCCCTCACAGTTGTCATGAAGGGTAATACTAGCTGTATAAACCAAAATCGTTTTTTTTTGGTACCAGGCTGTAAACACCTTTTTTCTGCTGTAAAGTTGGCCATTTTAACAGTGGGCTCAACTGAAATTTGCTCTATTCTGAAGCCAGGAGCGGCCAGGACTAGCGGAGTTTCGGATAAATTGCAGTTTTAGTTACTTCCGTATTGGCTTCGCGAGGGAGAGCGGGAGGTTGCCGCTTGGCTTATACCTGTGAACTTACATGGTAACGATGTGTAAGTAGTATGTAACTACAGTGTATGTACACACTGTTGCATAGTATTTACTTGTGTAATACTGGTGTAACTACACACATGTAACAACCCACAATAGTATGTGTAGGTTCAAATGTGTAACAGGACATTATTAACACAATCTTTGGTAAAGTACCCCTTTAATGTGAATTACTGATGTGACTCTACAGTTTACCTTAAAAAACATATAAATGTAAGGCATTTTTGATATTTATATATACACACCGATACTTTTTTGCCAGAAGTTTGCTGTTGTTAAACAGTTGCACAAAGCCTTAGGTTTTATATATTGCACAGTAATTTGTGACAATTCTACACTTTATATTGAGTGGACAGTTCCTGAGGATTTGCCCTGCAATTACACTTAATTCACAAGGTAAAACCTTCTATTGCATTGTTATTTCTGCCATTCTTATTCTAATACAGTGTTCAGAAGTACATGCAAACAGGTGTGAAAGTAGAAAACACCTGCAATTTTATTGTTGTTACAAAATGCACTTATGTAATTCTTGTTAGAGATGTGTACTTTCTTAGTGTTGTTACCAACGTTCTGTTACACATTTGAACTTACACATACTATTGAGTGTTGTTACATGTGTGTAGTTACACCAGTAACACACAAGTAAATACTATGTACCAGTCTGTACATACGCTATAGCTACATACTACTTACACATCTAGTAATTATGCAAGTTCACAGGTATAAGCAACACTTAATATAAAGTGGGACCAAATTCCTTTTTTGTAGTCAAATTAAAATCTTCCCCCATTACTTTCTAAAGAGTAACAAAATTACAACAGAAGTTGAACCTTACTGAACAGGCAAAAATAATGAATGCTTGAGTGACAGATGTACCTTTTCCGTATGGAAGGGCAGCCCTTCAGGAAGCGCTTGAGACTGTCTCTTTTGAACACGTACAGTAATACGATTATTAAAACCACCAAAATTGGCACCACCAGAAGAAAGAAGATCAACAGTCCATTTCTCAGGGAGTAATCTAAGGGGGAAAAGATAATGTAATCATTAAACGTATCTGTGTGTTTTGTATAGTGAAAATGAAATGAGTGTGTTCTTACCAATCTCAGCAGGGCCACTGTCAATACTGCCTCCTCTACCTCCTTTGTTACAGTTGGGTGGACCCCAGCCATTATTACAATGACAATGATATCGATCATTACACACCTGTGAGAACGCCACACAGCATTACAAATGGGCAAGACTTTTGTTGCGTCCAAATTTACATACTTGAACTAGAACTACTTCCTAAAAGTATGTATTTTTTTTGCGTGTAACAGAAGAGTATGCAAGTTTGAAACATACAACTTCCTCATTAACGGATTGCTTTGCTGTTTAGTTGCATACCCTGTCAATCATGTCGACACATCATCCACATTTCTGTCATATTTAATTTCCTGCCTTATTGGATATTCAGCAACAGGTTATTCTGACATTTATGAGTCTTTTATGCAGGAAAAACCCTCAGGTCTTTGGATAAGTATTCATTCAGTACATGTCTTTATATAAGTTCACATTGTTGTTGCAGATGAAATATTTCAAAGAAAATGTCATTGAAAAATTTTCCAGTTGGCTAGATATTTATTAATAGTTTTCAATAAACTTTACCCTCTACTTTTCAGCTGGGCTTGCATGTCTGCCATTTTTGTAGTTTGTTTTTTTAGTTTATAGTTCTAATCTAATTCACATCCAATGCACAATGTATTAGCAGTTACAGTATGTCAGATCTACACATCAAATTTTTACCAGAAATAGTAGACCATCCTCAAACCTTTGGTTTAATCTTTTCAACATACTATGGTTTTGGGCATACTAATTCTAATTTCAAATACTATTTATGAGGGCTAGTATGCAAATTTGGGACAGATCACTGGTCATATCATGAAAAGTGCAAGTAAGAAAAATTAAAAACTAAGAAGGACCAACATCCACTGATTCACATTAACACCAGGAATAACTTACTCCATTACTGCTGCAGTCTCTCTGGGCATCACATTTCCGACTCTGATCCATAACGGAAGAATTGAAACATGTGAAGTTCGCACAAAGCTGAGGGAAAAAGAGAACGGTTCATTTAAAAGTTACACTCTTACTGGCCACTAGGTCAAGACAATCTGCTGAAGTGATGAAAGGTGATTTAAATGACTTTTGGTGCCATGTGTGCTGGTATTGTAATAAAATATATGAATAGATTTAATTAAAAATAATTTTACAATTTACCTGAAGGACCACACCAAGTTTCTTGTTTCTTTCCAAGTTCTTGTTTTGTCACTTTTAGCTTAGCTTACCACAATGAACTGAATGGAGTTTAATTAGTATTTTGTTTAAAAAAAATGGTTTGATCATTTTCCTGTTTAAAGCTTGAGTCTTCTATAGATACATTGTGTAGTAAAACTGACAGAAAATGAAAAATGACTAAGCCAATATTTTTAGGAACTAAACTCTTTCTGGCTTAGTATTCAAGAAACTCTTCTACTGTACCATGGCTGCACCAGGCAGAGATATATTACGCAGTGCATGAGAACGGGGTGTTTTCAGAGGAAAACACTAATGATCAAATCCAATTCAATTTATTATGCTAAGCTAAGTTAAGAGTGACCCTGGCAGAATAAGAAATGGTCTGAATGGATACATAAAGGGCTCAAATAAATGCTTTAATCTAGGATATTTGTAAAATGAGACTGTTTCAACACCTGTGAAAGAGATGCCAATGTCTCTGTTTTTAAATAAGAATGAGGATTATTTTCAATAGGGTTCTAGAATTATATTCAATTGAATTGTGTCATTACCTTTGCAGGCCTACACTAAACAAATGGGCTTTAACGTTTAAGTTAAAGACAAAAAGGTACAAGGCAAGCAAATATTATAGTACATATTATAGAGAACACATTTCATTTCAAAAGTTCATTCATAAGATGTAGGTTCAAGTGTCCATTAAAAAAATGACAAATCAAAGTTATGACTTAATTGCTGATATATAGTTGTATATAGTGTTGTTCATAGTGTTGTTCATAGTGTATGAAATGTTCTGGCAGCACAGTGGCGCAGTGGGTAGCACAATCGCCTCAAAGCAAGAAGGTTGCTGGTTCGAGCCCTGGTTGGGTCACCTGTTATTTCTGTATGGAGTTTGCATGTTCTCCCCATGTTTGCGTAAGTTTCCTACAGGTGCTCTGGTTTCCCCACAAGTCCAAAAACATGTGGTATAGGTGAATTGAAAAGATCTGAAGTTTATGTGTGTGAATGAGTGTGTATGGATGTTTCCTAGTAATGGGTTGCAGCTAAAAGGGCATCCGCTGCGTAAAAACATATGCTGGATAAGTTGGCGGTTTATTCCACTGTGGCAACCGCAGATTAATAAGCCTAAGCGGAATTAATAAACTAAGCCAAAAAGAAAATGAATGAATGAATGAAATGTTCCAATACAGGTATAATATCAACAGTTTTAGCCTGAACATTAGACTTGCACCACTAATAGCTTAAATTTAGGATACCCTTCATTTTCACCTTTCCAGGAGCGCAGACAGAGCCTGTTTTGACATAGGCTGGATCTGGCACATCAGGGCCCATGTTGAAATCAGCATTCATGCAGGTTATTGTGCCTCCCTCTATTTTTTGTACACTGACTGTTGCTCCTAGCGGTGGGTTATTGCTGTTGAACAGGCACTGAAGTTTTCCACACATAGCATTTCTGTAAAGAAAGAAAGTATAAATCAGGGTTTTTACACCTTTTCCACAGTTTAAAATCTTAAAAAGCTTTTTTCAAGAAACTTCCAGGTGCATTTTTTAACTTTTCCAGCACTTTTCAATATTAAACATGCTATTTGTTACAGTATTTTATACTATATATACTATATTCCAAAGAAAACTATTTGATGGTACGTTTGCATCAAGCCCAACATTGTCATTTACCATTTCAAATGTCATTTACTCCGATCTCAAACGTGTCAATCAATCAACCAACCAACCAACCAACCAACCAACCAACCAATCAACCAATCAATCAATCAATCAATCAATCAATCAATCAATTCAGTTTTTAAACAGTTAATAATTTTACCTACTTAGTAAGTTTCAAGTTTTCAGTTTCTAACAATTAAACCAAAATCTAAGCACTTTTGTAAACTTTAAAAACCACTAGACTAAAATTCAAGCCTTTGTAAGGATTTTCAGCATCTGTACGAACCCTGATCAATTCCCTCAGCACTTAAGTTGAACTAAAAACACAAAACAAAATGAAAAAAAAATCAGATGGAACAGAAAAACCCACACATTTAACATGTTGCAAAAAATTTCAACAATCTAGGCGCAAAGTCCGAAGCGCATGGCGCAGAAAGCATTAAGGGCATGTACGAATCCACTTTTGCCATTTTTATAATAGAAAAATATGCTGTGCTCCCTGACCCAAGGTCTAACAGAGTTGTGCTTATTCTCTTAATGAATTCTGGGTGTTTTTTGAGCATATTGTGCATTAAGCCAATTAGAGTCTCAATTACATATTCTCTTTAAGAGTCAGTTGCGTTGCGCCATGGCACATTTGCTATTTACATGGCGGACTTTGCAAGCGAAAAAACTGAATTCTTCACTAGCGAGAAAACAGTTAAACAGACCATCTGCAGTGCAAGGATAAAGAACAAGCCTCCTTCATCCGGCCACTTTACTTTCTCTTTCTCTTTACTTTTACTTTTTACTATGTCGATAGGGAAACTCGTTGTACTCACTCCACTGAAGACATTCATTAGCCTACATATTTAATTTTGTATGTTAAGCACAAAAATTTGCTTCAATACAATTTCTTTATTCATTCTAATCTTCAGGAAATTAGTAAATTAATAATGTTAACAAAATGTGGTTGTAATTAATCACACTGCCTATTCTTATGCCCCAAATGGGGATGTACACGTCTCCAAAACCCATCAAGTGGACAAATCTAAACTTGTTTTTATTAAAAAATAGCTCTGCCATGAACATTAAACCAGCTCTTAGTTGGCCAATGAGTCTATTTCAATTTATCAAAATACCAACGGGCCAACAATGCACCTTAAAACACCTCCTTATAGAACACCCATGAGTCCACATAAATGGTGCAAATGGATCTGCTATTTAAACAATGTGGCGCAAAACATGAAAATTAGAGTTGTCTTAAAATAGCAACAAATCATGCCATACACATCTTGCGTCATATTGTGCAGGGTGTATGATAGGGCTCCTAAATTGCCATGGTGATTTCACCTAAAAAAAAATGTGTATTTGCTCACAAAACCTTTGTATTTTCATTCAAAACTTCCCAAAAAAATGTATGTTTTTGCATGTTGATGCATAGACATTTTTCAAATATTTCCTGGATTCTACAGTCTATGAGGTACTTACTGTACTGAACAAGGTTTCGGGAATGTCCCAGAATATCCACAGTTCCCAAATGCATTGCCATAAGTATTAACATTGGTAAAGCACTTATCATCTGCTTTGGTTGCTCCTAAATAGAAAAACAAAACAAAACAAAAAACAGGAATTCAACAATACAAGATAAGCTTTGTATAAACTTAAGAGCGGCAACGTGGTGGCTCAGTAGTTAGCACTATCGCCTCACAGCAAAAAGATTGCTGGTTTAAGTCCTGGCTGGGTCAGTTGGCATTTCTGTGTGAGTTTGCATGTTCTCCCCGTGTTTGCGTGAGTTTCCTCCAGGTGCTCCGGTTTCCCCCACAGTCCAAAGACATGCGCTATAGGTGAATTGAATGAACTAAATTGGCCGTAGTGTACGAGTGTGAATGAGAGTGTATGGATGTTTCCAGTACTGGGTTGCAGCTGGAAGGGCATCCGCTGTGTAAAAACATGTGCTGGATAAGTTGGCTGTTCATTCTGCTGTGGCGACCCCTGATGAATAAAGGGACTAAGCTGAATGAATGAATGAATGAATGAATGAACAAACAAACAAACTTAAGAGCAGAGCGTGATATAATGTTTGTCCGCATCTTAACAGATTAAAAGTGTGCTAAAAGTACAATGTGAAGTACTGTACCTGAGCCAAAAATCTGTTTGCACTGATAATCAAAGGTCTGGCAGCGGCCCTCAAAGCAGTAGGCAGCATTATTGTTACACGGGAGACCGTCCATCATGTAGAAATCTGATGGACAATATGGAGACTCTCCACCACAGTACTCTGGCAGGTCACAGGGGTTGATGGATGGTCTGCAAGGTGTGCCGGCAACAATGATCTGCTCAGAGTAAACCAATGTTACACTTACATTCAATATTTACTTGCATCCATGTTTCTAATATAATCCTGCAACTTAAATAAATGTTGTTAAGAGATATCAATAAATTTGGGTTACACTTTACTTGAAGGGGGGCAAAACCTTAGTAATAATGAAACCTTTGTAACCTTGGAAGATGAATGAGATTTCATACATGCTTATGGCAACTGTCATTAAGCGTCATTAGCTCAGTTATGTCATATTAAATGCAAATATGACATTGTTTGGGATGTCTTTGTTCTGACAACTTGACAATACCAAGGTAACAAAACCTGTCAAAACATGACTGTCCTGAGAGCAGTATTACTGTCATGAAATTTTTCTGATGACCTTTTTCGGTGAAATGCTGAATTAGTCATTAAAATGTCTCAGTAAATGTGTCAAACACTGTCAAATTCTTTTATGAAACGAGAGATTTGCATCATGGATGTGCATGTGTGCGTGATGCTATCATGTCAATATGGACCAAAATCTCTGAGGTATATTTCCAGTACCTTGTTGAATCTATGCCACGAAGGATTAAAGCAGTTCTGAAGGCAAAAGGCGGTCCAACCCAGTACTAGTATGGTGTACATAATAAAGTGACCGGTGAGTGGATAATATATCAAGCCTTTATAACATTGTAATTTAAGTAGTCAGGTTAACATGTATATTTGTGATGAGGGGTCTGACCTGACACTTTTGACAGCAACTTCCTGCGGCGCAGGTGGAGCCCTTAGTGAAGGTGCATGTGGCAGCATTACAGCATGTAGTATTGCATTCCTGCAACACATCAGCAACACTTCATTTAGGACACCAGCAATGAAAAGCTCTGTACTCTGTCACACAATGAGTAAGTTTCATTTTTAAGACGGTTGAATAAATGTAGCCAAGTCACTTCAAAACCCAACCAAAAACCATTAAACGCTGTAATGTGCCTAACTATATGAGACATGGGCTGTTTCTCAATACGCGTTCTTCAGCGGTCTTGCGTCCTTGTGTTCTCATGCAACGTCATCATCAGCTGCCTAAGTTCAGTTCCAATATTTAAGACTGCAAGTACGGAGGACGCGTGAAACTTCTTGGATGTGATCTTGATATAGAGGACGCACTGATGCAGACTTGATCACCGAACTCGCTCTGGAAGTCCCAGAAGTCATTGCGACTGGAGGTGGGAAGCGCTGCATTTTATATAGGTTTATAATAGTTATATATTAATTTCAGAGATATAACTTATTTACCTCAGGAGTTTCCCTAAAGGAAACGGTGAAAGTAAAAACATGACCATGAACATCTTAATCAAGAAATAAACACATTAAGGGTTTTTGTTTGCCAAAATTCGTATTAAAATATGTTTTATTTATATTGTGCAGAGTATATTTATAATGTTTTTATGCAAAGTATATATTTTGAAAAGGGGAAAAACAATAAACCGTTGTATGAGTGCTTTAATGTTTAAATAATTTACCACTTAAAACGCGTGAAGGTAAAGTGACCATCAGGAAAAAACGCAGCATCCCATTTCTCAAAGGACACGTTCTCTGCCCTCGCGGTCTCCCAAGTTTGTTCTTCCGACGACACCTGGCAAGACCGCTCTCCACGATAACGCAAGTCCGTTCTCTGCATTCTTGGAATTGAGAAACAGCCATGCTCTAAACCTTTATCAAACACACCTGAACCAATTAATTAAGACCTGAACACCACATAATAATTACAGGCAGGTGTGTTTGATATGGGTTGCAACTGAAATCTGCAGGAAGGTGGCTCTCCAGGAACAGGGTTGGCCACCCCTGCTCTAAATGGTGACCATTTTGGTTAAATATGTTCCTGTGGCAGCTGAAAATATTTTTGCTACCATTTGAGTGTTAAAAAACACTAATGTCACTTGACCTGCTTTTGTTTCTCTAACAATTGCTTGCTGTTTTTTGCGTAAACATTATGTGCCTGACAGGACCTGAATGCTAATGTGGGATTGAGGTAGCGCCAATATTTTAATCATTCCAGCAAACTCAATAAAGCTGTAAATTCCTGAAAAAACATTTATTCATTACAGTTAGGACTTTGAATGAGTAAATGATCCCACACATCTAATCTGTAATCAAAGAGACTTCACAAACAGTGAGCGATTCAGCACAATCCATCTCTCGGTTTCAAAATGTGCGAATGACCCAAGTAAACTCTTGAGTAAGCGTAAAGTAACCTTGTGAATGTATTGCTTTTGGATGGGAGCCACACATTCATTCTTAACGACTCTGTTTACACCAGGTCACTACATCCATTTTCTCTGATCGGATAGCTACTGAATCTAATTTGTGAAAACATCAAGTATCTACACTACCTAAAACCTACATTTAAAATCGACATTTGGCTATATAAATGTTTCTCCACTAAATGGAAATGATTCTGATCTTTAAATCCTGCACTATATGCAAATTTAACAAGGTTATGCAAACTTAAACACCAGGTACACAGCATTTTAAAAATTACAATAACTGTTTACGGAAATGTAGTAAGTAGAGTGTATCTTTATTCTTCCTATTTCTGATCTATAAATATAAATATAGATTTTTTTTATTTATTTGTCATATTTATCTCATGATTTCATGTGCTTTTATTTGCCGTTAACGAATTGGAATATAAATGGATTAATCTACTAAGGATTAGTATAGTGAGTATATAATGCTTGAGTCAATATTGAGCCGACATTTTGCAAAATGCATTTTTCATGAAAATTGCCACTAGTGTCACGGTTACTGGTGTTACTTTTCTTATGAGTCAAATCACTGTGAGAAAACTGGTGATTCATATGTGTCGCCGGTGTTATTCAGTTTTTTTTTCCACGTCACATTGAAAAAGTGTTTAGATACATAATTATTTATAAGGTAATCAGTTTACATCTACTAAATTCTGCTACACCCAAGGTTTACGAAAAATTGCATCATTAGATGTTTATAGATGGTTGTTGTACTGAACTAACATTGAGAAAAAAAAAAAAGTTTTAACAAACGTGATTAAAACACATAAAACATAATCCCCCTTTATACAGTCAGGTCCATAAATATTTGGACATCGACACAATTCTAATATTTTTGCCTCTCTACACCAACACAATGGATTTGAAATTAAACAAATGATGTGCTTTAACTGCAGACTGGTAGCTTTAATTTGAGGGCATTTACATTCAAATCAGGTGAACGGTGTAGGAATTACAACAGTTTGCATATGTGCCTCCCACTTGTTAAGTGTCCAAAAGTAATTGGACAGAATAATAATCATAAATCAAACTTTTACTTATTTAAAACTTGGTTGCAAATCCTTTGCACTCACTTACAGCCTGAAGTCTGGAACGCATAGGAATCGCCAGACACTGGGTTTCATTTCTGGTGGTGCTCTGCCAGGCCTCTCCAGCAACTGTCTTCAGTTCCTGCTTGTTCTTGGGGCATTTTCCCTTCAGTTTTGCATTCAGCAAGTGAAATGCAAGATCAATTCGATTTAGATCAGGTGATTGTTTTGGCCATTGCATAACATTCCATTCTTTCCCTTCAAAAATTCTTTGGTTGTTTTTGCAGTATGCTTTGGGTCATTTTCCATCTGCACTGTGAAGTCCAATGAGTTCTGAAGTATTTGGCTTAATATGAGCAGAAAATATTGCCTGAAACACTTCAGAATTCATCCTGCTGCTTTTGTCAGCAGTCACATCACCAATAAATACAAGATAATCAGTTCAACTGGCAGCCATACATGCCCATGTCATGTCACTACTACCACCATGCTTCACTGCTTAAGATCATGAGCAGTTCATTTCTTTTTCCATACTCTTCTCTTCCCATCACTCTGGTACAAGTTGATCTTGATCTCTTCTGTCCATAGGATGTTGTTCCAGCACTGTGAAGGGTTTTTTAAGCTCTAATCTGACCTTCCTGTTTTTGAGGCTCAGCAATGTTTTACATCTTGTAGTGAACCCTCTGATAGTGACCCTCTGACAGCACGCAGCTGTGGCGGCAGGTCTTTTTTACGCAGATCTACCAACTACCTGTGGCGTTATTTAAATGATAAATGTTGAGATCGCATTTATGTAATAGCTTACGAGCATGCAAATCTCTTTGCTTGCGCGCCAATTTCCTCTGTTCATGCACAAAACTTCTTGCACGCCCTCAAATATAGGCTGCTCAAGCGCATATCTTCTTGTGCACTCTCAAATACACACTGCTGAAGTGCGATTTAGTGCGTTTATGTAATAAGCATGTCTCCAACATTTTTTAGATTTGCTACGAATATTTATGAATTTCTCCCATAGACCTACAGAACGGTATTAATGTGTCCTGAAGTAAAGTGAAACGTCGTGTTTGCTGGCCTCATGCATCACGCACCTGTCAGTCAGTCAGCCAGTCAGTCAGCACGTAACCTTAAAGGGTTAAACAAATGACGCACAGTCCTACTACAGTTACAGAAAAGTCTGCGCTGTTATAATTCACGTATATGTTAATACATTTTGGTGCTCGCTATAAAAAAAAAACACGACTGGATGAAAATGACGAAAAACTGTAATGTAGCAGTGGCGGGATCAATTTTGGCATCATGCCCCGCCATGAAAGATTAAATGTAGCGAAAAATCATGCAGACAAATTCTAAATGCAAATAGCAGACTCTGGACCTTTTATCTGCTCATTGTAATTGGAATAATAAGCGAATAACACACATGGCCATAGAACTGCTTATAAGGCAATTGTCCAATTACTTTTGGACCCTTAACAAGCGAGGGGCACATAAGCAACTTTTGTGATTCCTATACCGTTCACCTAATTTAGTTGTGAATACCCTCAAATTAAAGCTTTTATTTTAAATCCATTGTGTTGGTGTATATAGCAAAAATGTTAGAATTGTGTTAATGTCCAAATATTTATGGAACTAATTGTATGATCCTCATATCTTTTATTTTATTTTTCTAAAACTCGAAATACATGTGCAGAAAAAAACAAATAATAATATTTTATAAAAACGTTTAATATTGTCAAAAAAGTGGGCAACAACAGCGACAAAAAATGGTAAATGTGAACTTTAAAAACATTCACAAAAAACTTTAAGTCATTAATGTTTTCCTAAAGCCAAAAGACAATTGATTAACGTGGCCTAAGTTTAAAAGTAAAAAAAAAATATATAGATTTTTTAAACATTTTCCATTCCAAAATAGATGTTTCTATAGAATGACCCATAGATACAGTAGAGCGATAAATATATGTTTAAAATCATACCTTGATATTAAAAACAATAGCAATTTCAATAAAAAACAGAATGTTACCATGTATTAATTTAGGTGTGGATGATGATATTATTATAGTATTAATATAGTTATGGTTCTTTGTGTAATTAGGCCTTAACTTTTTGCAGTTATGTGTATTTAAACCAATTCAACTCTATTATATCATGCCATATATTTTACTGCTTGAGAAACCAAACAAATAGAATACATTTTGAATGTAATTGTTCTACTGAGACTAAAACTCTGATTCCGTACAATGAAACTCTATTAATAATCATCTTAGTTTAAACACATACCTGTGGTGTGCCACAGTCACACTCCTCTCCACTCTCCAGAATTCCATTCCCACATCTGGGCACAGATATGATGCTGTCCTGAGCAGGTATGTTCCTCAAACATGCTCCACCCCCTCCCTGAATCAACCTCTCGAAGGCATTATCACTGCAGTCACTGAATTTAGTTGATCCACTGCAATCACACCAATACACAACATCATCATCATCATCATCATCATCAACTTCACATATAGTATGAGCTCATAAAGAGATTTTGTAGAATTGTCATTATATAATTCAATCTGAAATGCTCTTGCGCAATAAGAAGCATTTCAAACAGAATAACGAACAGCCAAAAATATTATTTAATGTTAGAACAAAAATTATGATGTGCTTAACAATTGGAAATCACCTTAACACCCTTCATTCCAGAACTGGATTTTCGACACGATATTTGTCATTCAGACGGAGAGCCTCAAGGTGCATCTCAAATGGCACACTATTCACTACGTATTTAGGCACTTACACACTCAACAGCATAGTAAAGCACTAATGGGTTTCTTACTAAGCAGAAATTCATACCATTTCCCTCATGATGTTTGACAGTTGCCAAATTAGTGAAATAAATGAGCAATCTACCAAATAATACCTACCATGAGTATAACCGCATTCCCCATCAGGAGGCGCTATAATCACTCTCATAGGAGAATACTGCTTTCACAATCCAAAATAAATAAAGTACTCCAACATGTGTGCCTGATGGCTCCGCCTCCTCCACTATGAGAGCAAAGCAGCGGCCATTGAGTGCGTGAAGTGTTCATCATTATTACACACTTCATTTTACCGGTTGAATAAGTGCATAATCCAGGTAATTAAAGTGCACTTATTATTTTTAGAGCTTTCAGTATGTTCAGTATTTAGCTTCAGTATGTTTTATTAATAATAATTTGAATTATATGTTTAATTAGGTCACATTTTCTTTAAATGTACAATATACACTATTAGTTTAGACATTAAATTAGACTTTTAGCAATAGCTAACTTGCTTGCTTACCTGCCTGCTTCTTTGTTATTTTCCTACCTATTTGGTTGCTTGTTTACTTACTTGCTTACCTACTTGATTACTTGCTTACCTGCTTACTTGTTTGTTTAATTACTTGCTTACCTACTTGATTACTTACGTGCTTACCTACTTGCTTGCTTACTTGTTTACTTACTTGGTAACCTACTTGATTACTTGTTGACTTGCTTGCTTATCTACTTGCTTGCTGGTTTGTTTACTTGTTTACTTACTTGCTTGTCTACTTGCTTGCTTGCTTGTTTACCTGCTTGCTTACCTACTTGCTTACTTGTTTACTTGCTTGCTTACCCACTTGCATGCTTCTTTGTTTACGTGCTTGCAAAAACTACAGAGCCACCATTTCAAATCCCTAAACCCATGCATGGTTGTGCTAGTGCAGGATCTGAGTAAACTAATTGGCTAAAAAAAAAAGTCACTGGCAATGTAATATTTTATGCCGTTTTACTTTTAAATGTGAAGTCTCTTTATACATTTCACAAAACAACAAACAATGAGCAAATGCTGAAGGAATTTAAAATTAAAATGAAATTGAGCAAATGAAGGACTGAAATTATGAAACACAGCAGTCACTGACCTGGCAGAAGGTGCCATGATGCACTGACAGCTACACCCATTGCTGTCATGACTCATGCCCAAATTATGGCCCAATTCATGAGCAGCCACCGTAGAATAATACTGCAGATTGTTGTCACTGAACTGTAGACATGTAAAAGCAAAAGGCAAACGAGAACATGACATTAGAGTATGTTTGCTGACAAATTATATAGATCTAAATACATTTGCAGCACAGCAAAATAAAAAAATTAAATAAACTGACATTTGGGCTGCACAATTTTGGACAAAACATACATTGCAATAATTAAAAAAAATTTAATTTAAAATTTAATTTGCCAAAAATCTATCATTTTACATTGAACTGGAATGTATAGGCATAAAATAATTAATAAAAAGCATAAATTATTACAATAGACCAAATATACAAATGAAATAGACAGTGCTTTATGGTTTTCTGGAAAGTCTAACAGTATGTGAAATAATCAAACGTAAAATAGCACTGTATACAGTAGTCAACATTTAAAGTAGATAAAAACCTTTCATTTTAAAACTCTATAAGAGCACATTCCTATTGTGAAAGTATTTTTTGATCCCTTTCAAATGATGAATACTTTGTATTTTGTTGGTCTTTATTGTATGAATAAATACAATTAATCTTTGTTAAATCTACAACTTTAATAATTTCTTGTACATAAATGTGATACACTGTGATATCAATTCTAAAACAATATAGTCCTAATTTAATTTTATTGAATCATTCATTACTTTTCTTTATATTGCTCATACCATTTGATACAGAACAATATAGAGCTTATAGCTGAGAGAAAAACACCTATGCTATTTGGAACAATTAATTATATTGCCAAAAAATATCAGTGATATCTTACATTAAATGATCTCTTTGTATCTACTCTGTATTTTTACATAATATGTCTTAGCAGGATTATATATATATATATATATATATATATATATATATATATATATATATATATATATATATATATATATATATATATATATATATATATATTGTACATACAGTTGAAGTCAGAATTATTAGCTCCCTAAATTATTAGCTTCCCTGTTTATATTTCCCCAATTTCTGTTTAACGTAGAGAAGATTTGTTCAACACATTTCTAATCATAATAGTTTTAATAACTCATTTCAAATAACTAATTTATTTTATCTTTGCCATAATGACAGTAGATAATATTTGACTAGATATTTTTCAAGACACTTCTATAAAGCTTAAAGTGACATTTAAAGGCTTAACTGGGTTAATTAGGTTTACTAGGCAGATTAGGGTAATTAGGCAAGTTATTGTATAACAATGGTTAGTTCTGTACACTACCAAAAGTAAATTGCTTGAGGGGCTATTAATTTTGTCCATAAAATGGTGCTTAAAAAATTATAAACCACTTTTAATCCAGCCTAAATAAAACAAATAAGACTTTCTTCAGATAAAAAAATATTATCAGACATATTGTGAAAATTTTCTTGCTTTGTTAAACATCATTTGGGAAATATTTAAAAAAAAAATAAAAAAATTCAAGGGGGGCTAATTATTCTGACTTCAACTGTATATATAAAAGTCTTATTTCTTTTATTGTGAGGGGCAAAAACTCACAATGCAACTTCTCAAAGGCCTGATCATATTTGATACTACATTTTAAAATGGCCTTTTTAAATAATTGTAATATTAATAATATATATTGGAGGTTGCATTGTTGCTTCACGCAGCCAGTCTCAAACACACCTTTCCATTAATAAAACATGCAAGTTTTAAATTACTGCTTCCAGAAAGTGCTCCCTCGGGATACTTAAGATCCTTCTTGTTTTATAACTAGAAGTATATTAAGTAGCCTATAATATCATCAGGTCAGTGTAATAGTCAACATGATAAATAAAGTATGCTCTAACCACACTGATTGCTCCTGAAGTACTCGCAGAACATACACTCCCTACGAAGGCCATGCCGAGCACACCTCCGGGATAAGCTCCTTGACCTCTAAAAAGAAAGACACAGATGATGTTACTCATGTTACATGCCCAGAGGAAACCCGGGGAGAACATGCAAACTCTACACAGAAATACCACAGAATTTATTTATTTATTTATTTTTGCCAGTTGCCCAGCCGGGACTCAAGCCAGCAACATTCTTGCTGTGAGGCAAGTTTTGTAATGTGCTTCAAATATTCGTAACTTGAAACAGATAGAAATGTGTCTTCCCACATTACAGTACTTGATCTATACCTGGCATTTCTCCTGTTGGGTTTTAGGTTTCGAAAGAGATAAAATTTCACCACCTTATTCAAATTTTTACCAAATTTGCACAATCCATATGCACAATGCTTTGGCTTGTTTCCCTTGCTTGAACAGACCTCCCATGCCAAGATAAGGTCTGCATGTTCACGTGGGTTTATTCCAGGTGCTCCGATTTCCCCCACAGTTCAAAAACGTGCTACAGGTGAATAGAATAAACTAAATTGGCTGTAGTGTATGTGTGTGAATGTAAGAGCGTATGGGTGTTTCTCAGTCTTGGGTAGTGGCTGGAAGGGCATCCGTTGCGTAAAAAATATGCTGGATAAGTTGGCGATTCATGACGACCCCTGATTAATAAAGGGACTAAGCTGAAAAGAAAACGAATGATGAATGATATGTTTGCACCATGCAATATGGTCATCTGCTTGAGCTGTAATTATTCTACCTGTTTTGTAAGTTAGATTTTTTTTAGCATTGCCTAGTCTTCTGGTTCTTTGTTATCAAAAACTTTGATAGAGCACATTTGTGCCACGCACATTGTTTCCAGAATCCCTTAATCCAAAGGTGTTTCTCCCATTAATTTTTTACCATGGGGATTAAAAAAGTCATGAACCAACAAGATATGGGGTGAATCACAACATTACATTGCCTAGATTTAAGCAAAGTACTACACACACACACAAAAAAAACAGACAAAGGTACAGGGAATGTAATACCCAAGTGTTAACCTCCCGCTCTCCCTCGTGAAGCCAATACTGAAGTAACTAAAACTGCAATTCATCTATTGGCCTTTGGGGGCTGGCCCCTGGCTAAAGATGTTTACTGACTGCAATGCTAATTAAATTGCCCAATTTTACTGCTGATAAAAACATGTTTACTGTCTGGTACAAAAGAGGATTTTGGTGCTTATAGCTAATATTAGCGGTGCATTTTTTTAAATAACTTATCTGTTTTACTTATATCGAGTTATATTAGGTCTGCATAATTAAAGGTGTGGCAACTTAAGTGACAGCTAGGTCTCGCTGGTCACTGTCACTTCACCTCCGCAGATTCTGGCTGATTAGCCACTGAACTCAGCATATACCTCAGGTTTTTGTCTTATTTTATGTGGCCTTACACAATCAATTGCCTTTTGGAATTATTTCCTACAATTATCAGATTATATGGCATGCTGTGTGCACTTAATTGTGCTAACAAACCATTCAAGTGGCCTCCATTTCACATGTGAGTAAAATTAAATACTTATACCATATCTACAAATGCATTTGTTTTACTTAAGATAATTTAGCATTTATAATGTTCTTTAGATCCTGTAAAGCACTCCAGAATCTGTCAGATTGATCAGCTGTAGGCTTTAGAACAGTCATCTGAAACGTTGTCAGACATGCCTGGATTTCATAAACAGCCTTGCATTTACTAGCATAATAATTTGCGTTTTCCTCCCGTAAAAAACGTCATTAAAACAATGCTTTAAGTGGTTCAGTGTATTACAACAGTGTTTTTAAAAGATTTAACATTTTAATGATATAGTATACAACCGAGCACATGTGGTCAGAAAACAAACCAGTCGTAGGTAATGAAGCATTAAGCGTTTCTCCCAAAGAAAGCCTGTTTAAGCAAAATGCTATTAAGCACCTGTAGCTCCACTGAGGCTCTGCCTCGTTGCCCTTTTTTGTTCATCCTCGGTCAGTGCAATGATGTGCGGACAAAATGGCGATGATTAACCACGCCCACTTGTAGCTTAATTTGCGCTCTTCGGAAACCTATGGGGTGACGTCATGGATACTACGTCCATATTTTTACAGTCTATGGTAATACCACTGTATTGGTGTCTCTAGAAGCATACACATACTGTTTGTTTATTTCAAGTCTGTTGCAAATTTTGTGTTATTTTAATTTTAAGTGTACTGTAGGTTCAGTAATCTAACTTTTATGGTAACAAATATGTTGTTTCCATTGCCTTTAGAGTGAAATTATTGAACCTACAAACAGAAACCTGAGAAAAATTCTCATTTTAGATTTTACAACTTGAACACAATTAATCTTCCTCTCTGAACTGATTCATACAGAACTGTGGAATTAATTTATTTACAGTATTTAAGGCAAGAATATTATAAGTACTGTAATTAACTTTCCGAAAAATGAAAAGTAATCCCCTTATTTACTTTGGATCAGTGGATAAGTAATTTTATTACAGCAACAAGTTATTTTGTAACTATTTACACCCAACTCTAATGTGAAGTACTTACACAACGAGCTGAGCTGCGTCATTCCTGATTTGAGGTGACAGTGTTGTTTTTCTCCAGTCCACAAACCTGCCCAACACGTCTCCAGCATTGCCCTCCACACTGAAAGGGTTCCCCGTATCAAAGATCTTCAGGCCAATCAAGGCAATTCGGATATTCAGCTGTTTGAAGTACTTCAGGAAACATGAAAGCAGCCACAAATATGTCATTACATCACATCTTAAACAACCAGTCTAAAAATGCTCTTGACATACAGTTCTTAGCATTAACACAATGTTTACAAAAGTCAAGAATGAGTCAGGTTTCTAGCATTATCGGTCACTAGTTTTCTCACCGTATCCAGCAAGTTAGCCAACTGAACCATTTCGTCACGCACAGCATTTACACTTCTGTTCTTAATGATGAACTGAGAACAGATCAACACACTTATCAGAGTCAACCAACTACAATGATAATTTGTGTATTTGTGTGTGTGTGTGTGTGTGTGTGTGTGTGTGTGTGTGTGTGTATGTATATACATACATAAATGAATACATCACCTTTTAGTATTTAATTTTTTTGTGATAATTTCTCAGTAAAGTGGAGACAAGAAATGTTGGTGCATTTAACCTCTTAAGGCCCAAGGTGTTTTTTTACATGCATTTTTTTTCCTCTTTGCTATTTGTGCTTTTTGGAAACTAATTATAATAAAAATTTAAGTATCATCTTTTGATATGATGTACTTTTAGAGAAAAATTATGCCCATACATGTGGACTCGTGGTCCGAATTTACATAAAACACTTTTTCCAGAAAGTTTTTTTAATGCATATTTAAAATAGAAATTTTTATTTGAACTTGCTTTGACTATCAGAAAGTAAAAACAACATTTTTTTTTTGCTATGAATGCATATATATATATATATATATATATATATATATATATATATATATATATATATATATATATATATATATATATATATATATATATATACATGATGGCTAAAACTTACCCTTTTTTGGTCAACTACTAATGCCAACTCCACATATTTAGTCTGAGGTAAGGTTCGCTTTTTCTGTGGATTAAAAAGATTCAATGAAACCTCAAATATTGTGTTTGTTCAACATATATCAAAATACTGATAAGGCAAAAGGACATCTTTTCGAACCCGTAAAAACATGGACATGTCAGCATAACGAGAGTGGTCCTCACTGAGAGACGTTTCATTTTCCAGTCCACATACAAAGGGCTCTGAATGACTGTCCTCTAACAGGAAGAGCAGGTGTTCATTGGCTTTAGAGTGCAAGACTGGTTCCAGTCCATAGCTTTTATTCCCAATGATAATGACTCCTCTAAAAACAAAGCACAACTCACAGTGTTACTACTACTTAAAGGGAAAGTTAACCCATTTTTTTATTCACTCATTATTTACTCTCCTTCAAGTGGTGACAAGTTTAAAGCTTTCTTCAAAATATCTTTTTGTTTAACAAATGAAAGAAACTGCTTTTGGAACATGCAATAAGAGAGTAAATGATGACAGAATTTACAATTTTGGCTGAACTTTTACTTTTAATGTTTAAGAGAGCCTTTTTCAGGCAGATCAGCTGAGCACAAAAAAGAAGGAAGATGAGAAAAAGTGTTGTCAGAAGCTTCCTCATACATGCACAATAGGACTACATTATAATGTTTTTTTTGGTTTTGTTTTTTTAGCTTTGGATTTACGCAAATTATAGGGGACACCCTATTGAGCTCTGAAAAAACAAAAATCCCATCCCTGGTTTTTACCCAAAAAAACAATTACTGAACTTAAGAGGTTGATATGAAATATCCTTATTTTTTAAGTTATATATTTATTGGTATTAATACTAAATGTAAGCAGGTCATCTTTTTGCAAATAGTGATTTGCACTGGTTATGCCAATTAAAGTCTGGTTGAGCCAGACACAATTGCAAAGGAAACCTGTTTGGTAACAGGAGAAACAGTATGAAGAATATGCATATGGTCACAAAAAAATAAAAAAAACTTTTATACACTATGTCCTGTGTTTTATTCATTGCTACACTAATGACAAAAAGACATTTTTGCCCATGAAATCTCCTCAAACGTGTCACCTTTGTAACCATGCATGAAAAAGAGTGGCTTATTAACAGTAATGTTTTTTTAATGATTCTTTTTTCTGATCCCATTCTAGGGCTGGGCAATATGGCAAAAATGTCGTCTCGATGATTATCTTCCATATTGAACAATAACAATATAAATTTAGATATAAATTGTTAATGCTTCCATATTTAAAAAAGTACCCCAACAATGACTGAAGCCACAAAAATTTGTGGGTCCATTAAATGGCATAACATAGTATCTGCAAATAATTTTCGTTGGCTTCGGTACATCTCTAAGATCAACAGACTTTCAAATTCCAATTGTTGCACATTTCTTCTGTGTGATTGGCTCTTAAATCAATATAGAGTAAAAAAAATCCAGAGCTTATCATTGTTATTGACATAAACATTATCACAATTTGATATAATATTGTTTAGCGGTCCAGCCCTATCCCATTCTCTCTCTCTTTTTTTTTTTTTTGCTCACATACCAACTTTCATTCTCATTCTCATCTCATTTCTCATTTTACACTGAAACTGGAAATAATTCACTAGCTGATAATTTAAATGAAATTAATACAACCACTATATTTTTAATACAAATAAAACAGTTTTTTAACAGAACTGCAAAGCTATATGCAAAACCTCTTTGAATCGAAGAAAAAGAAAAATAGCTTTGTGAGCCTAAACTAAAACAAGTCTAAACTAAAACAAGGAACGATTAGATTTGATCTTAAACACTATAACCTATACAAAGCACAATTATTGAATTGCAATGCGAATGCAGGTTTATTTTTTATATGTACAGTTGAAGTCATAAATATTAGCTCCCTTTTGAATTTCTTTTTCTTTTTTAAATATTTCCCAAATGATGTTTAACGGAGCAAGAACATTATTATTGATTATTATTAATAATTCTGACTTTAACTGTATATGCAGTGGGAACAGAAAGTATTCAGACCTCTTTGTTTTTTTTTTACTCTTTGTTAGCAGCCATCTGCTAAAATCATTTAAGTAATTCTTTTCCTCATTAATGTACACAAAGCACCCAATATTGACAGAAAAACACAGAATTGTTGACATTTTTGCAGATTTATCGAAAATGAAAAACTGAAATATCACATGGTCCTAAATATTCAGAACATTTGCTGTAAAACCCATATATTTAACTTAGATGCTGTTCATTTCTTCTGATCATCCTTGATATGGTTCTACACCTTAATTTGAGTCCAGCTGTATTTGACTATACTGACTGATCTTGATTAGGAAAACCACACACCTGTCTATAAGATCTTACAGCTCACAATGCATGTCAGAGCAAATTAAAATTATAAGGTCAAAGAAACACACAATTTGAATACTTAGAACTATGTGATATTTCAGTTTTTTTTTAAATAAATCTGTCTTTGTCTGTCAATATGGGGTGATGTGTAAATATTAATGACAAAAATTAACCTAAAGGTGCAGTAGGTGATCTGCCAGAATGCTAGCGTTAGCATAATAGCTTAGAAATTTTACCACCCTCTCCTGCCTTCCAAAGTCATACCTCCTTAAGTCATGAACTGGCGAACGTGCACTGATTAGATATAACACTAGATCATGTCATTTACCAGTTAGAAAACTCTGTGGAGACACGCACTTTATCAAGCGTAGTTGTTGACAGGCCAGCGGGTGCAGGACTTATATATCCCCAAAACTGTCACAGGCTGTCACTGTTCAAACATGAACAAATGTGTGAATATAAATCAAACTTTACCTCAGTCAAGCTGGTTAGGCTGAAGAGCACATTTACTTATGTTTTGTTACTAAATAAAAATTAGATCAGAAAAAAAGGAGCGCTAAAAACAGAAATATCCTGTCATCTTTTTATATTACGTTTACTTTACAACGATTGACTTTTTATTTCCGGTTGTGCTCGCTGATTCTCGTACATCGCTTGTTTTAAGCTCCTTTTTCAGTTGAACAACTAAACGAATGCTTATGTCTCCTTAACTGACTATATTATCGATGCTGCAAAAAGTACTCCATGAACTTGAAAATAGCCAATCTTTTGCCAGATGTTTTCGGTGGTTGAACAACACTTCCGTGCATATAAAACCCATTCATAAACAAGAACACAGTCTACATAAGCTTTGCGTGGCTAAATAGTTTTAAAACATACCTGTCTAAAATTAATACTTCAGCCGTGGTGTGACCCTTCTGATTGTTGTTTTGAACTTCGTAACATCACCTCCATCCAGCATGCAAAAGTAATTTCGATATTGATTCAGGCTTTAGAAAAGTTTTGATTTTGCATTTTTGGCAGAAGCCCTCTCAGAGACCATCTTTCTTTTCATGCATACAAGGCCATGTTGGTCTTTCAGAAAGAAGTTCAGGTTGATGCAGAGTTTGCCTGATGTCTCTCTGTCAGCAGTACATCCGTGCTGCACTTGTTTGCTTAAAGAGGCTGCGCAAAAATTCAAATTTAAATTTGTTGACAGTTTGAGTTACCTGATAATCATAATTAAGTTATTTGTCGATCCTACAATATTTATTTTAGATAAAAAAAATTTTGTCTTATACCTTACCTAGTATAAAAAATACATATGAATACATTTAGATCATTAACTTTAATCATTACTATTGGAATGTAAAAAAACTTTCAACCAGCACAAAAAAAAAATTTCTGGAAACAATCACCTATGGCACCTTTAAATGGTTTTAGCAAACGGCAGCAATACAACAAAGAGTAAAAAATTTAAGGTGGTCTGAATATTTTCAGTACCCACTGTAAGTATGAATGGTCTATAAAATTTGCAAGGAACATAACAAGAATAAAATATATGCAAAGTATAAAGTTTGCAAGGAATAAAACAAGACCTAAGTTGAGTCTGTTATTTAATGCCAGCCAATTTTTGCATGCAGGTATTTGCGTTTGCATAAATCTGCACATTTAGTTTTTTCTTCTTGTTTAAACTATGCATTTAAAATGAGTTGAAACAATCCAATCCTTCTTTTTTATGTTCAATCTACTTAAAGTTATTTTAATCAATTAGTGTTGGGAAAACATGAAGGAATTGTGTAAAACCCAACATTTTTTGCAGAGAAATAAACTGAAGTATAATTTCCTTATGAGTTACTTTGCAAGCATGGTATTTAAAAATGAAAGTATTAAAAATTCAATGTCACCTTCACCCAACTAACTGCTTTGACTGCTTATTTGATAGTGAAATTGTAAGCAGCATACAGTACACTACATACCTGATGCCTTCACAAGTGCTAAGAGCAACAAGAGAGTCTTCATAACCCTCTACATGCCCTTGATAGTAACACTGCACCTGGAACAAATCCACTAGCATTAGTACAGCTCATTTTCCAAAACTGTCTCAAGGTTAATGTCTTGGTTGCTAGTCTTCACAAAATGACCACATGACTGCATGTTTAAAAGATCAGATTACCAACACCCCCGTTATGTATTTTCTGTGACCAGTTTCCTGATTCAGGAACGATTTACATACCATGTAAAGTAGGTTGTAAACAATATGTCTTTCATATATTGTTATTCTAATAAAACAAGTAGAATTCTCACCATTCTTTCAGGCTGCACTTTCCCTTTCTTTGGTGTTTTATGAGAAATCACGACAAAGTTCTTTGATAAAAAGTCTCTGAGGAAATGAGAGATCAAATTTAATTTTGTAATATAAAGCTAAACTTTAATAAAAAGCTAAATTGTTCAAAGTTCTTACGTGTTCTTTGTCACATGCAGTATTCGGTCACTGCCTTCAATCCTGACTGAGTATGTGATGATATCAGCATGTCTTTCCTAAAATCAGCCACAAGATTTCAACGTAGTTAGAAAACATAATTTAATTTATTTCCAGACACTGTTAACGGTGCTCTGTACCTCTGGTTGTTTGTGTGAGGGGTCTGCATATCTCCTCCAACGCATCTGAACCAGCTGAGGTTTGACCACATCATACTTCTTCAAATAGGAGGTCTGATCTATGGCCTGGACTGTATGAAGGAATAAATTAAATTAAGCAACTGATTAACAATTATCAGGGGTGCATTTCCGAAAATCATCGTTAGCCAACGAAAGTCGCAAGTTCCGTCGTTACATAATTAATTGATTTGGCATTTCCCAAATCCATCATTCCAATGCACATTGTTGCGTTGCAAACGTGTACACTTGCAACTACACCTCTGGAGCTGTAGTTAGAAACATAGTTCCTGGCTGTATTTTACTCCCAGTTTTTCCCCCTATGCCAAATTCGTTTAGAACATTCTAATATTTAAACTTGGACTAATTAAAAAAAAAAACATTAAAGTCATCTCTCTTAGGTGTAATTTGCTTTCAAAGTATTTTTACAGTTCATTTTTAGTGATTTTCATTTAAAATTGCGCTCCCTTCGAAGTGCACTTTGAAAACATTGATGCCATTTTGAACACAGCCGTGGCTCATGATGAAAGCTATAGGTGACCTATTATTTAAAAGTGGAATTTACATCACGTCTCTAAAACTTGTGAAAACAAAAAACATAGCATACGTTAATGCTTTTAATTTATATTAGGTTATTTATTAAGTATCTGTACTGTATATGACATGGGCCTGCACATTTCTGAACATTGGTTTGCATGTGTCAAATCGTAAAAGTAGACTTTTCAAAAAATAAAAACTAAATAATAATAAAAAAATCATCATATCATCACCTTTAATATTATTATTAAAGTAGGATTTTTTTTAATTAATTTTCATTTCTTAATAAATAGCTTCATTATTTTTTATTTATATATATGATATTAGAATACGTGTTAGTAAGTGATTTCATGTTTTAGAATAGAATGTGGAATGCAGTCAATATTTGTAAAGGAAACATATGTGCCATTTACTTCTATTAATATAAAAAAAATGAGTGTATTTTTTTTACTAATCTTGGATTTTTTTTTAAATGTGTGTGCTTGTAAAACAATATAATTTGCATAAAGAAATTATGGGGTTCTTTTACAAAGAAGTTGTTACCACCCCGTTTAGGAGCATCATTATGGGCGGTTTAAAATTCAAACAATGGATCTACAACAGAGAAACTACGGATTTTGGGAAAGACTCGTCACTACATCGTTCTTTTCCCAAACGATGCATCGTATTATGATAGTTCAGCCTCGAGTTATGCTGTTGCTTGGGAAACCAGCCCAGATTAGATAATGTAACAACTGGTAATCCAAAAACAAAGAAAAAATGCTTCAAGGGTAAATAATGTGTTGGTGCTCTTTGCATAAGGAAAATAAGGAAGGAATATATATATATATATATATATATATATATATATATATATATATATATATATATATATATATATATATATATATGACATATGACATATGTCATATATATCTTTGTCAATAAAGGATTTGAAACTTTTTTGTATCACTGTTATCCTCATTTTATTTTATTTTTTTCAAATTACCTATTGTTTATGTAGACATTTCCAGTCAAATCTTTTTAAAAAAACAAATAGTTTTTTTTCTATGAGTTTTTAAAATAGGTTTTTTATGCTCACCAAGCATATGAGGAAACAGAAAAAAATATTATTGAAAATGTTAAATTGAAAAATAAATAATCAAATTTAAACAGTTTATCAGCTATTGTTAATCGCTCACGAAACATTTTGGATGTTAAAACAGTTTTGCTGATTCATTTCATCCAATATGTCATACAATATGATTAAAAAATGTGACTTTAAATAAGAAAAAAAAATATTAAATAAAACATTTTATTCAGCAAGGACGCACTACTTTTATCAAAATTGAGACAAAAGACAAAGCACTTACAAAGCATTTCAATTTGAAAAAAAAAAATCCTATGCTTATTTAAACTTTTTATTAGCAAGACAAAATGTGGAAACAAGTATCAATATTTTCTAACTAAATATTAGGCTGCAAAAAACTCAAACAACATTGATAACACTGAGTCGTCACATTAGGCTACATTTTAAAATCTATACAAACAGAACGCATAATAACTTGTTTAACATTGAGTAAAACTATTTCTCGAAATGATAGTTTACGATAAATAAAAGCAGCCATGGTGAACATAAAAAGTATTTGTTCAAAACATTAAACAATAGTAAGCATTTACAGAGTTGGTGTATTTATAGATACAGTTTTAGACGTTCCATATATTTTTTCCAGACTACTGTGTAAACAAGAGCCGTTTGTAATCACACAACTCTAAATAGCTCTAACATTAGCTTAATTAACCTACTTTAACAACCTTTAAAACTTAATAAAACGATTACAGTAGGTCTAAAATCAGCTATTATTAATTCACGTTCCCTGTACGATTAATAAAACTCAACACAAGACTTTTGTCGTAGGCTTTGTTGTCGGTGAAACACGACTCTAGCTCTTCCTCCATTAAGGGTAGCTACTAAATGAAGTCATCAGTTTGAAAATATTAAGGATAAATGAATTGATATGTCTTACCTGGACAAATTGAGAAGTTTATGAGAATAAGGACGAAGATGTTAACGTGCCGCGTCATGATGTTTCTGTGAACTGACGCTGCTGGATCTCAGGTGAGCAGCTGAGCACGAGCGAGGGCGTGCACGAGCAGTCCTACAGGTAGAGCGACATTCCACTATTCTTTGTTTGGCCCTCATTCATAACTATTCATAGATGTTATAGTTAGAAATAAGAAATGGCTGGCGCATTCCACAGGATTAAATACAATTTAAAAGATTTTTCTGTGGGGAAAACCCACGCGAGTACTGGGAGAACATGCAAACTCCACATAAAAATGCCAACTTTCTTGCTGGCCACATTCAGCCACATTCTTGGTGGCGACAGTACTAACCACTGAGCCACCGTGCCGCCCATTATTTTAACAATCATAGTAACATAAATTATAAGTATGTGTGTATTGCAGTTAATTGTAGTAGGCTACAAATAGGCTACACTGAAAAAAAATATTTCTGCAAAGTTGTTGCAAACTATGAATTGAATTTAAACAAACAAATTACATTTAGTAATGTTCAACTTTATTTGTTTGTTTGTTTGTTTGTTTAAATTCAGCCCAAATAAAAAAAAAAAAAAGTAAATCCAGTGGCGTTTAGTTTAAATGCCACGCTGAGTTCTGCCACTGAGTAAATCCAAGTAATCATCTTTGAATATTTTTTTTTCAGTGTACAATGTTTGTTTATATGTAGTATTAAATTATAGATAAAAAGCAGTATGGTATTACGATTAAATACTATATTTTTACAGGCCTTTAGCCAGTCTGGTGAAAGGGGTGGTTCTTTTTTCTTGAAAAGTGGACCTTTTTTGCAGTTATTCGCCTCATTTTCTGTTTAACTATGAGATTTAAATACTGAATTTAGGTGACATTTTAAGTTTGTTTTTTTTATTAGCTTGTCGGATGGTCATCATAACCACACTTTTGATACCAAACACTTTGATACCAAACATATTTCCTAAATATTTAGAATAAAGAAATATGACAAATTTGAATTTTTTAAATACAACTTTATTAGATCATTAGAAAAAAAAGTTTTAAATTAAAAACTGTAGTCTATTATAATTTATTAGGCACACAATAAACTGTCCAGCAAATTAAACTTTAGTCAGAATTTGGCCATTAAAATAATAAAAAATGTAAACATATTAATAATAATAATTTAGACTAATAATATTAGCAATTTTTCTAGCCTCCTTTGTAAAAAAATACATTTGAAAATTAATCGATAAAAACAATAGCCAAAATATTATTTACATTTATTTTAATATGGCTTGCTTTTGTGCTGCATACTTGTATTGGTCATGTTCTTTCGAGAATAAGGTCCAAGATTTAGAATAAAAGTTGTTTCACTATTAAAAAAAACTATACAGTAGTGAAAGATGACTTTGCTTATGTGTTTTTTGCACAGATGTTGGACAAAAAAAAATGTTAGCATTGGCCAAAACTGATTAACTTAAGTCACAGTCACACCAAAGCGACAGCCAGCAGAGGATTCTACTTGGTCTTAAAGGGGGTGGATACCGTCTTCCGAACCCCCCGAAGCCCCCTGGCTTGTCTTTTTCATTAATCTGGTATTTTTTTGTTTGACACTGGCTGAACTAAGTATGACAAGTTTATTCCTCTAGATGGCGCTCGAATGACACGTCAGGGACGAATTACTAAGCGTATTCAAGAGGTATCAAGTCCATGCGTTTGATGCATCGTCTTTTGTTTTGATATATGGGCAAAACCTGTTTTACTATATTACAGTAATAAGGCTATCCGTACCCTTTTCCAAAGAGAACTTATTACTGTACCTTATATTCAGTCTTATTGGATGTCTTTAGGATCAACTGATTTGCTGGAAAAAAGTGTGGCCACAAAAATTTCATGTTAGAATTAAAATTAAAGAAATATCTTATAAACTTCTCCACAGACTTTATCCAGCAAAACATTATTTACAAAAATTTAAAAGTGGGATTGAAGTAAATTGTATTGTTTGTAATGAATATGAGGAGACTGCTTTACACTTATTTTGGCATTGCGCATACTCAGTCAACTTATGAAGTGAGGTGCAAAGATTTATTAATAACAGTGTTCTTAACCTCTGTCGTTGTTGTGGGAAAATATACTTTTTGGCATTTCCACCCCAATCGAGAGGAAAGTTGTTTTTATTTAATTAATTAAATTATTTTGCTAACAAAATTTTACATTTATAAATGTAAATTTATCAATAAGAAACCGAATTTTAAGGTGTTGATGACTGAATTATGCTTATATAGTAGTATCAGAAACTCTCTAAATATAAGAAAGCACTACACACCTTACTGTGAACGTATTCATGCTTATTACAAATGTACATTTTGTATATTTGTATTTGATTTATTTACCCCCTGACATGTAGGCCTATTTTTTGTACTGTTAAAATGTAATAATAATAATAATAATAATAATAATAATAATAATAATAATAATAATAATAAAATTAAAAAAATAAATAAATAAGTAAATAAATAAAAGGTATTCAGTTAAATTTTTTTGGTAAATAATAAACATGTTCATCGTTTCTCAACTGTTAAAAGTTATCTTTGTCGTTAATAAATTAACTGAAGCTTCGTATTGTTTGCTGTTCTGTTAATTCAATCTCTTTGCTTTTCAGTGGCTTCAAAGGCAACGAAACTACATGAGATGAATATAGTATTTTATTATTGACAGAAGTAAATGTATGACAATAATATTTATTTATTTATCCTTTGCATACCGCACATGAGAAAACTAAATAAAAAAATAGAAAAACAGTGAATCGTTTGTGTTTTACTCAGGCGTATGCTTGAGCGCCTTTGTAGGGTCCTAGAGTAGCTGCCGTCGCTGTTTAGAATGTAATGTTAAAGTAGAGCGCAGTTTGTTTTTATTGCTTTTATAAAACGAAAAACACTGCGAGGATGTTGTGTTTTTTGTTTCGAACTTGATTAGTTAATATGTTTTAACTTCTCACTCTCACTGCAGATATATGAACGAACGTAACTGAAATCCTTTACTTTAGTGTGCAGTATGTAACTTAATCGTATTGGTTTTGGCTGTTTTATGGGAAACGGTTTAAAATATCGGATTGTGTGTGTGGATGCTGTTGGTGGGGCAATAAGAAGCATTTATCAGGATGTTCTCGAGTAAAGATGGTCTGATATCTGCAAACAGTTCATGGCCGTGTTCATCACAGAAGCAACTCTCTGATGTTCTCAGCACGACACTAGACAACAAACTGAACGACACACAATGGTTTCAACATGACAGGTGAGTCCGTTTGGTGGCTAAAATAGTGATTCGATTGTGTACTTTTAAAGGGGACCTATTATGCCCATTTTTACAATGTGTAAAATAAGACTGATGTCCCTATAGTGTGCTGGTGAAGTTTAAGTTCATAATACCTCACACATTTTCATAGATCTTAGAAACTGCCCCTTTTAGACTTTGGTACAAATTGCGTAGTTATGGTGACTGTCGCTTTAAATTAAAATAAAATTGTGCTTCCAGCCCTCTTTTCAAAAGAGGGTGGAGCTATAAACGTCTATGTGTCATCATAGCTGCAGATTCAAAACTTTAACGGCGGACGGCTGCTGCTTGCACAGAGCTTTCTATGCTAATGAGCGAGGGATGAGGTCATCACTAATAGGTGAGACTTTCCCCCTCCGATGACATACAAAGGGAAAATGTCAGCCAAAGTGTTTCTTCTTAAAATTAGAATTAATTAAAGTTTATTATTAGAGGCTGGCTAAATTCACACAACTGTGCTTTACCCCCTTCTAAAAGTGATTTTTGCATAATAGGTCCACTTTAAATCCAAAATGCACTCATTAATAATTGACTAACCTTTGTTAAGTTAATCCTAAAACTTGAGTTTCAAAATAAATTGTTTCTTTGATGCACTGCGATGCAGATGCAGATGGTTCAATATTGGTTCAGTAATAGATCATAACCGGTTATTACGTAGTGGCGACATTTATCTCCTATGCGCTATGTCGCTGTAGAATACTATGGCAAAGGAGGCGAGGGCGAGAAATTAAAATGCTCCAACTACTTAAAAAGCAGATAATTGTGCACAATTCACTGCTTGTGAGTTTGGTGGACAGTCTTTCTTTGACACTGAAGAATGTACAGCACACAAACTGCTGTTTCACTACTAGCGAGAAATGCTGTAAAACTCCATCTCTGCCTCTTTCTCACTTTGGACATTTGACCCGCTGACGTGTACTTGAGGTAACTTTTCCTCTCCTCGCGGCTGTTACAGCGATACTTGTGGATCCAGACACGAGCTTGCCAGTGGTGCAAGTTTTCTCCACTCCACTATTATGGAGTACCTGTGATAAACGCGTATTATGCGCAAATAGACTGTAACTGCGGTTGTTCTTCCCACGTCACTCATCGGTGAACAACGCTTTCATTTTCAAAGCTAATCGCAGCCTTCTCTATTGAGCGGGTGAAGACAGTGACCAATCATAGGAGTGTAAGAACTTGACAGCGCTCAGAAGGCAAGATGGATAATATTTACATTAGTCTATTTCCTATAAATGCTCATGTTGTTTTCTGTGCATGTACTGGAATATTGTCTAAACATTCAAAAAGATTTTTCTTTGAGCAAGTAAAATTAAAAGTACAGTTTATATATCTTACTGCGTTTATTTAAGGACAAAATTGTATTACAAATAATATAAAAATATAAATATATTTATAGATTTTAATAAAAACAAAATCTTGTGTTTTGAAGAAAAAATCTAATTCTGTATGGAAAGCATCGTCAATGCACCGTGATGTACCGAGATATCAAATTGAACGGAATCAACAGCATGATAATTGTAACTGAACAAATCATGAGACCAGTGTAGGTTCACACCCCTACCTAAAACATTCTTAAAATTAAAGGATTAGTTCATAAAATGAAAGTTGTCTAAGCCTCAAGTGGTTTCAAACCTTTATGCATTTGTATATTTGGTTGAACACAGAACAATATGGACAGAATAGTAGATATCTGATCTTGAAGAAGGTTTGAAATCCTTTTGAAGCTATTAAAGCAGGGGTGTCCAAACTTTTTGGGCCGAGGGCCAGATGCAAAAAGACAAACGTTGTCGCGGGCCAAATTTTACATACATCACACAGACACGTGTGTATATATATATATATATATATATATATATATATATATATATATATATATATATATATATATATATATATATATATATATATATATATATATACACATACATATATATACATACAGTTGAAGTCAGAATTGTTAGCCCCCCTAAATTATTAGCCCCCGTTTATTTTTTCCCCAATTTCTGTTTAACGAAGAGAAGATTTTTTTCCACACATTTCTAAACATATTAGTTTTAGTAACTCATTTCTAATAACTGATTTATTTTATCTTTGCCATGATGACAGTAAATAATATTTGACTAGATATTTTTAAGACACTTCAATACAGCTTAAAGTGACATTTAAAGGCTTAACTAGGTTAATCAAGTTAACTAGTTAAGTTAAGGTAATTAGGCAAGTTATTTTATAACAATGGTTTGTTCTGAAGACTTAAAGGGCTAATAATTTTGACCTTAAAATGGTTCATAAAAAAATTTAAACAGCTTTTTATTCAAGCCGAAATAAAACAAAAGTCTTTCTCCAAAAGAAAAAATATTATCAGACATATGGTAAAAATGTCCTTGCTCTGTTAAACATCATTTGGGAAATATTTAAAAAAGAAGAAATAAATCAAAGAGGGGCTAATAATTCAGACTTCAACTGTGTGTGGATAGATAGATAGATAGATAGATAGATAGATAGATAGATAGATAGATAAATAGATAGATAGATAGATAGATAGATAGATAGATAGATAGATAGATAGATAGATAGATAGATAGATAGATAGATAGATCATAACAAGAACTGCTGCTTAATTGAATGCATGTAATAGCGACACCCGGTGGTTATTTATTGAATTGCGTTCATTTTTGTATAGCGGGCCAGATTCTATTGATATTTATAAAAAGCCTCGCGGGCCGCCACAAAACTGATTGCGGGCCACAGATGGCCCGCGGGCCGTAGTTTGGACACGCCTGTATTAAAGTGATAGTTCACCCAAAAATCAAATGTACTCACTATTGACTCACCCTCAAGGCAGTTCCAAACATTCACAAGTTTTTTTCCTCTGTTGAACACAAAAGAATATATTTTGAAGAAAGCTAAAAACCTGTAAGCGTTGACTTTCATAGTCAAAAATCTTAAAAATATCTTCTTTTGTGTTCAGCAGAATAAAGAACATCATAAAGGATTGAAACCTCTTGAGGGTAAGTGAATTTTCATTTTTGTGTGAACTATTCTTTTAACATCTGAAGTAGCTCACATTCTTTAAAATATCTGCATCTCTGTTTAACAGAAAAAAAGAAACTTGAGCAGGTTTGGATGTGGATGGTGAGGAAATAATGGCAGAATTTTCACCTGTTTTTGAACTATCCCTTTAGACACCTTTAGAAAAAATATAAAACAACATTTAACACCAGGAGAAGCAAACAAGTAAATAAGTAGGTAAATAAATAATTGGAATATGAAGGAAAGTTGTGACATGTGGCCAAGTATGGTGACTCATTATACTTGGAATTTGTGCTCAGCCTTTAACTCATCCAAGTGCAGTGAACAGACACACCATGAACACACACCTAGAGCAGTTGGGGGTTCTGTGCCTTGCTCAAGGGACTCCTCTTAGCCATGGTATTATAAGTGGTGAGAGCACTGGTTATTCACTCTTACCACCTACCATCTCTGCCGGTGCCAGGACTCGAGCCTGTGACCTTCACAAGTCCAACTCTTTAAACATTAGGCCATGACTCTTCCCATGAAGTGTTTTTGTGACTGTATTTGCACATGCATTTCTCCTAGGAATGAAGCTGTCTGTCTGGAGAGAGCAGAAGAGGACTCACCGTGTGTCGTCACACTTCAGTGTTCACCCGGCTCTGCGTCTGCGATCAGCAGTCTTCAGGTGGTCAGTGAAGCCCGCACTATTGAAGTGTACTCGCTGTCTGGAGAATACTGCGGCACCTGCCGTGGAGAGGAAGTTCAAATATCACACACTAATGGGTATATGTATGCGAATGCTTAAGTTTACTTTACTAAACTTACTCAATTAAATCCTAATCATGTCATGACAAACTATATATCAGTGGAAGGTCTAAGACTTTTAAATACATATTTCATCACTTTTTTGTTATGTAGGAAGAGTAATAGATTAAAAAATATATATAAGGTCAATATGGTCACCAATGGAAACTGGATGTCATCTGGTCCTGATAATTGATCTTGCAGCCAAGCCAAATAAAATCTTACTAAAAGCTTCTAATTTGAAATATGAGTGGTTCAGATAATTAGATTTTCTGCCATTTTTCAAAACATAAAATACATATTGTATGTAATGTATTCATAAACAATGAAGGCACATAACTTTTATTTTAATCGACATTTCAACTTCTGCCTTCTGTCTTCTTTAAAATAAGACCAAGCTTAAATCTATTGACCAAGGCATTGAAGACATTTAAGTTGAACGTCATTTTCATATGTGCAAAAAGTGGGGGCGACAGTTAAGTTGTTAAATTATTATTATTATTATTATTATTATTATTATTATTATTATTATTATTATTATTATATCATGCTCTTATTGATATAGGCTATGTTTAACAACTACCAATTTTTTTTTCTCAAAGTGTAATACACATAGAAATACACTTCTGATGTAACATAATATACAGATCTCAGATTTCATGAACTTTTCGCTCTTATTTGCATGCAATTTGAAATAATACATTTTTTAAATAGTAAGCTAATTTAGTTAAATAGCAAACAAATACACACATACACAGCTAATGAAAAAAGACAGCATGTACATTTTTACTTTTAATAATTTCAGATTTTTTTTTTTGTAATTAAGCAACTTCAGACTTTTCTTGCAAATTTAAAATAAAAAAGTTGTCATTTAGTGTTTGTCTATTTTTAAGCACAACTTCAACATTTAGACGTTAAGAAAAAGTAAAGAAATCAATTTTTGCTGGAATAACCCTAATTTTTTATTACACTAAATCAATTATTACCAGTTGTCCTTTTCTGCTCAACATTTTCATCAGTTAAATTTATCAGACTGTTGTTGAGTGCAACATATTAAAATTTTACTTAAACTCATATCTAACAAATCCAATGATTTTTCAAGTAGTCTTTTAATTCTTCTCCGAAGCTGTAATTACTTTGAATTTGCCGTTTTTATAATGCAAATATCTACAGTTGAAGTCAGAATTATGAGCCCCCCCTGTTTATATTTTCCCCAATTTTTGCTTAACGGAGAGCAGATTTTTTCAACACATTTCTAAACAATAGTTTTAATAATTCATTGCAGATTTTATTTGACTCTTTTATGGAAAAAAGAGCAGTTGTGATTTTTAAGATAATACACATCCCCTTTACTTAGCATTTGAATTTCTACCATCAGGACGCAGGTTTAGAATTAATAAAGCACGAAGAAATGCCTATAAAAAGTCATTTATCCCAATGGCAGTTGTTGTTCTAAACCGGATCAATGTTTGTAGTGGATGAGGTGGTTACCAAGAATGATTTGCAGTATTGTGCATGGGGCTAATTTGGTTTTTAAACTTTTAACTTATGTTGATGTCTTGATAAGTGTGATTGTATCGTAGTTGTATGTTTGTAATTGTTGTCCTAAATCCAGTGTTGAAGAAAAATTTCCTTTCTGTGTCAAGCAGAACGGACAATAAAGTTTTAACTAAAACTAACTTATTTCTAATAACTGATTTATTTTATAAATTTGCCATGATGACAGTAAATAATATTTGACTAGATATTTTTCAAGGCACTAGTATTCAGCTTAAAGTGACACTTAAACGCTTAACTTGGTTAATTAGGTTAACCAGGCAAGTTAGGGTAATTAGGCAAGTTACTGTATAAGGATGGTTTGTTCTGTAGACAATAGAAAAAAAAACTAGCTTAAAAGGGCTAATAATTTTGACCTTAAAATGGTGTTTAAAAAATTGAAAACTGCTTTTATTCCAGCCGAAATAAAACAAATAAGACTTTCTCCAGAAGAAAAAATATTATCAGGCCTACTTTGAAAATTTCCTTTCTCTGTTAAACATCATTTGGAAAATATTTGAAAATGAAAAAATAAAAAATAAAGTGGGCTATTAATTCAGACTAGTTTTTGTTATTTTTAGTTTTTGTCAAACAAGAAAATGTAATTAATTATATTCCACCTCACAAAATGAATTTGTTTTTTGGGTTTTCTTTTAAGTTAAATGTGATTACCCTGATGGTTTGCTCTATTTTGTGGCAGTTCTGAAGAAGAGAGGCATTTCTACAGGAATAATCTGATTCTGGAAAGCCCTGCTGTGTCCTGTGAGGTGAAGGTAAGAAATGTGAGAAGTAAATCCACACTTTCATTGCAGGCATTCAAACTGATATATGATGTGTTTGTACAGCTGCTGTCTCTCGGTGGCCGCTCCTCTGTGTCTGTCGCTCATGTTTGTGTGGGACTGGAGACACTGAAGGGCAGACAAGGTGGGCCGAGAGTAGAGCCAGGCATTGACCTTCAGCAGGTGCAGGCCATGATGGAGGAGATGGGCACCACCCTTTCACCGGGAGCACAAAATCTATTGGAGCTGGTGCAGTGCCAGCAAAAGGTCTGGTCTCAGTCTCTTATTACAGCATAATCACCACTGCACTGGGCAGATTTAATAGGATTGATATTATACAGAGGAATAATAATGAAAATATATTAAATTAAATAATAAATAGTATTTTTTTATATTACTTTATTACTGTTTTCAGTAATAATTTTAGTTGAAAAAGTAAAAATAAAATTCTTTTAGTTGTAACAAATTGAAGTAATTTAGGATGATTATAGATGGGTTGATATCTATTTAAAGCTACCCTCCTGTTAAAATAGATGAGTTTATAATAGACTTTTTAAATTAGACCCTTTTTATCATTTGGACAAATTTGGTTTAAATCTGACAAGTAGCTTGGCATCTTTTTACTACATACAGCTGCTTTTATACAAACAAAAAAGATATACAGAATCTCTTTAGCACTATGACCAATAGGTTGTTTTCAATCATGGTTCTGATGACATACAAAATTCAGATGGGGGGCAGGAAGTAAAAAATTGAATGGGAGACATAGAGGAATGTCTGTATTTTTGCGATTTAAACCATATTTATGGTTTATATTTTCCATATTAATGGAAAATAACCACATATGTTGGACATGATCCTTCTATCATGAAGAGAGCCCAGTTTCTACTAAACTGAAATATATTAGCCTGTCATCGAGGCGGTATATACTGTATAAGCTATTATGTTACATGAACAAATACTACAGTAAATACTTTATTGTTTGAAAGCATACAATAGATTATTACTTGAATTACACTTCGTAGTAATTATAATGTTCCTGTGACATGACTCAACTGTAGTAATAAACAAATGGGGTGTATGCCGAGCTAGTGTTTTTCCCAAACTGATAAACTTCCGGTGACCTGTTATTGTGAACTTTTTTCCATTTTATATGGTTCCTTTTACAGCATGGATGTTGTAATGTCATTAAAATACATTCAGTTAAATAAACTTTGGCAGTCATTTAGTTGCTCAAGCTTAAAACGAGACAAAAAGCCGTTTACTCGCAGGCGCCCTCAGAATTGGCAGGCTAGCGCAGAAGCTCCATTGAATATACTAGGGTAAAATAAATGCTCACATTATAAAGATATGGCAGGGGAAATGAAATTTAATGCAGTGCTTCTTGTACAATCTGAGACCCACTTTATATCGGATATCACTCGGCTAGTGGAGATCGCTGATTTTTAAAGAAAACAGCCCTTAAACGCGCCGGTTTTTGCATTGGCATACAGTTCACCGGAAGCGCTTAACCCAGGTTACTGGCAAATTAAAAGTCCTATTAGCATGCTTCGGCATTCACCCTATTATTCAATAGGCTTATATTAAAAAAATATTAAATTATATTAAAGCTTATTATTCAATATGCAATAGTTTTCTATGCTATAATCAAAATGCACCACAGTTTACACTAATGTTACAGTATTTATTACAGTTTATCAGTTAACTATACTACAGTATTTCATAGCATTAATTAAAGAAGAGTTATACACATTATACACTCTACTATGTGGTTCAAAACATGTTTATTCTTTATTACTATAGTTTTTTTCTCATGCAGATATCTTCCAGACATCACAAAATACAGATGAAAGCAAACAAAAGCAAGGGCGCAAAGACTATTATTATTATTTATTTATTTTTGGAAGGGGGAAAATGCACCACAATAATAAACATCTAGTTTTGTTGGCGGGTTGCATTTCTTTTTTGTTCTGTCGATGAACTTACCTTCAACAAACATTCACTGCTGCTGCGCATCTCGATGTTCACGTTACAGTTGTTATTCTGCCGAAACGCCAGTAAAGACATGGATTATTGTAAAACAAGACAAAGATTTCATTACAGCAATTACATGGCAGGATATGTTATTTATATTCTTCTAAAGTTTGTAAAAGTGTGGTGGTGTTTGCATCTGATTTTTATTTAACACATTAACATATTTATGCACATAGCTAGCTAGGCCTGTATATAATTTTTATTTGTGCTGTCAAATGAATTATCAAGTTCCAAAAAGTTTGTACACATGGATGTATTAAATGAATGTTTGTTACATGCTGCATTTCTACAGTTTTTAGACAGTTTCTTTCTCCCCATTATGAGCAAATAATCTATAAAAGCTGTTTGGCATTTCTTATTTGGGTCAATTAAAACAATTACAAACAGCATAAAACAGAAACATTTTGATGTTCTGATAGCAATTCCTATGTAGAAGAATCACTTCCTGCCCTTCATCTGAATTTTTTTTTAGCCATTATTCTAGTCTTCATTGTTACATGCTGCTTCAGAAATGAATCAAGTTTCTTTTAGAATAAGTTTCTTTTATTCTGTTCAGCTCTTTTGTTGTTCAGGATTGAAGAATCCTGAAAAGATGTTACATGTTTTCCACAAAAAGGCAGTAAATAAGCATTGGTAAAATGTAAAAAAAAGAGCAATTACATGCAAGTTTTAACCAAAATAGCAAGTTTTTGATGTAGGCTTATATTTTAGAGTACTATTTTCCACGTAATTCATAATCATCTTAAAAAGTCTTAAATTTGACTTGGTAAAACCTACAGAAACCCTGAAATAATTCCTGAAGTATCGTGTGAATTGTAAAAATAAAATTTTTACCTTCACATGGATTACGTTTTGGTATATTAAAATATTTTTAATTGTAATATATCACAATTTTCCTGTTTCACTGTATTTAAATCAATGCCATCTTAGTGAGCTTGAAGGTGCCGTAAAGTGCTTTAAAATGTGCATTTTTTTATTTGATGTTATCAGATGATGTTATGACATTAAATCAGCTGAAATATGAAGATAGGGCAGGACCTATAGTTATTTATTTATTATTATTTTTTATGACATCTCTGCCAATGAGAATGGTTGAGCTCAAGCACATCAAATCAAAAGTATTTAGATGGGGGCAGGACATGTTAGATACTAGAGAGCATTTGATTGTTCAGAAGAGAATTGAAGTATGAAGTGATTCATATAGTTGGAGGTTTTGGATGTTTTTATCGTTTTAATGCAAATGTTGTCACTGTTCTTGGAGCTTGTAGATATCCTTAAACTAACATCTATTAAACTTTATTATAATGTCACAAGACTTTTTGATGGTATAAAGTTTGTCAAATGTGTTATATTTATTATATCTTTTCTGTTACACACTGCCAATTTTTTGGACAATAGCTTCATTGGTTGGAAAAAGCTAGCATGCAGCTTTTATTACAACTGAACAATCATTCTTTGTCTGTCGTGTCCAGAATAAATCAGACATGCTGAATGGTTTCATTCCCCTGCTCATGGGAGGAGGGGCTTTAAGCTGTCTGTCAAGAGGAGGCGGGGCTTCCAGTGCCGAAGAGGCGGAATCAGGCCCAAATCTACCCTCTGGCCTCGAGCAGCTTCTGTCTGCCAGCAACCAGAACCAGATACCCACTGCAATGTCTGCCCTGCTAAACTCGGAATCAGCCACAGTCAGCCCAGACCTGCTTCCAATGCTGCAGAGCGTATGCGGTCAGGTCACACAGCTCCGTCTGGAGGAAGCCACATCTCCAGAAAGGAAGAAGAATGGAGAGCGGTAAGTGTGAGTCATGTGTGGTTTTGAGTAAACAGAAGTTCACTGACTACAGTTTTTGATGTGTAGTTGTGGTAACTGGCTTATAATGACAACAGTGTGAGTACTGTTAATATGAGGAATAGTGCTGATAAACACATGACGTTTTTATTATTTTCCAGGTTGTTAAGGTAAAAGGAGTAAAAATTGTAAATATTAATGTTCCTCAAGATTTTAAAATATCTTTATGTACTGTAAATCTTCTATATTAATATCTAACCCAGAAGTAGTTTTAAACAGAAAAAAAATCTGTGAAACTATTGGTCAAAAAATATTTTGTTAAAAATAAATAAAAGTAAAAGTAAAACTCACAATAAATGAAAATCTAAAACTAATGGAAACTAACAACAGTCACTGAAAATGTAACACACTGGTGTTTACAGAAAACCTAAGCAATAATAATAGTCGTTTTCAGAATTAACAAGCAGTCATTCTGTGGTGGAAAATCTGATTTGTAGATGGTGCTTTTACGGACAAAAAAAATCTTCATTTGGCGAATGTAAACTTTAACTATACATTTTTAACTCTATTCATGATCCTTAATCTATTTATAATTATACAGTGGGGGGAAAATGTATTCAGCTCGCCACCATCTTACTCAGAAAACCTATTTCTAAAGGTGCCATTGACTTTTTAATTTTAAATTTTACCCAGATGAACAACCAAAGAAATACATATTTGAAAATAAAACAAATCTAATTAGATTACAAATCATGTTATGTGTGATAAAATGAAAGGACACAGGAAAAAAAGGATTGAACACATGAAGAAGGGAGGTGCAAAAAGGCTGTGAAAGCCCAGCAATCCTCTGCACTCATTAGTGTAAATTAATATTAGCTGCTTCAGTCCAAGATCTACATTTGGCAGGATGATGAAGATGAAACCAGGGTGGACATTTCAGCAAGACAATAATCCAAAACACAGTCAAGGAAACTCTCAAATGTTTTCAGAGAAAGAAAATTAAGCTAAAGAATGTCCCAGCCAATCACCTGACTTGAATCCAAATGAGAATACAAAATAGCGATCAGTTTGGAGCATTTTGAAGGATTTCTAGCATCTGTACAAACCCTGTAGTTAGAATGGACGTTTATTAATTGAAGGGCACCTATTTTACCCCCTTTACAAGATGTACAATAAGACTTTGGTGTCTCCAAAATGTGTCTTTAAAGTTTCAACTCACAATACCCATCAGATTATTTATTATGTGAAGTTTTTAAACTAATTTCGAGAGGAGCACGTGATATAATTGACAGCAGCTGGCCACCTATCTACACTCATTAGTTAGCCAATCAGATCTATCCTAACCCACTATAAGTAGCCTAGCTAGACATTACTCCCTTATCTTCGTTTTCCGAAGAAACCCCCCATCCACCCCTTTCTCCTCCTTTTCTCCTTTACAAAAAGGCGAGCTCTCGAGAACCACCTGATCTCGTACTCCCCTCACATGCTCTATGGACCTGGCGGGAGCCCTGGGCTCAACTGTCTCCGAGCTCAGGGTTCTCTCCCGGGACAGCATGCCAAACCTGCTTACAGCTGTCAAGCAATATCTAAGTGTGAACTCTTGAAATAATGTAAAGTCTGCACATTTTGTGTCTGATGCCAATGTAGCTGTTTTTGTAGCCTGTGGCTTTAAATCCAGATGAGCTGTTTCTCCGCTCACCATTCCAACCTGCTTGTCTGCTTCTCATTATGCGTTACATCAGATAAACATATAGAGACAGACTCGGATGAAGCTGAAAAAAAGGTCTTGTTTCAAAAATACCAAGTACTAATACTCATTTCTAATAACTGATTTATTTTATCTTTGCCATAATGACAGTAAATAATAGTTTATTAGATATTTTTCAAGACACTTCTATACAGCTTAAAGTGACATTTAAAGGCTTAACTAGGTTAATTAGGTTAACTAGGCAGGATAGGGTAATTAGGCAAGTTATTGTATAATGATGGTTTGTTCTGATGACAGTTGGAAAAAAAAACTAGCTTAAAGGGGCTAATAATTTTGTCCTTAATATTGTTCAAAAAAATTTAAAACTGCTTTTTTTCTTGCTAAAATACAACCAAAAAGACTTTCTCTAGAAAAGAAATAATATTATCAGACCTACTGTGAACATTTCCTTGCTCTGTTCAACATCATTTGGGAAATATTTTAAAAAGGCAAACAAAAAAAATTAATAATTCTAATTATTCTAATAATTCTGACTTCAACTGTATATGTGTTTGCTGACACCGTACAATTACATACCGATTTTATTATTATATTATATTTATTATTATACATGTCTTTATTACAAACATGCACTGATTTAAAAACATTTAAGCTTCATTAAATTCATAAACTTCATATAAATTCATTGAGGTGCAGCTAATCCAGTGGTTCTCAATTTCTGGCTTTGGGACCTTCCGCCCTGCACATTTTGTATGCCTCTCTTACTTGACACTCAAGAATCAGTTCATGAATCTCTCTGTTAATGAACTGATGATCTGAATTAGATATTTTAATTAAGGAAGACATACAAGGTATGCAGGGGCGGGGGTGGCGAGGACTGTAATTGAGAACAACTGATCTGATCACAGAGAGTGATTAGATTGTATGTTTCAATCCCAGTTTCTTTGCAAAAAAATAGTCCATGGACACATGTTATTATGGAGACACACTTTTCCTACACACAGTTTTGTCCAAACAGCTTCCAAAAGTTGATTTTCATCATAGGTGCCCTTTAAACCACAAAAATGATGATTAAATGTAACTCGCATAAAATAAAATGAAATCATTTAAATGAATGAAAAACTGAATCTAACAACAGTCATTGAAAACTTTACTGAAATAAAATGACTATTAGCAAATTAAAAACATTCACATGTAGCTGGTGATTTCAAAGACAGACAAACAAAAAAACCTTAATTTGCCAAGAAATGTAAGCTAGGTATTATAGTTTGATCGTTAATATTTGATCGTTAATATAATAAGAAGTTTGTCTGAATTCTTTATCATTTTTACTTGTATTTGTTTAAGTTGCATGTGTATGGTTTTGGATTCAGTGTTCAAACCATTTAGCTTTTTTACTAAGGGTTTTACACAAGAGTTAATGTAAATTGTGCAAACACTAAACTTTGCTAAACGTTTTGTGCTAAACTTTTACTTCAACACTGGTCAGGATCTGCTAAACTAGAATAACAACAAACTGATTCTAAATATACAAAAAATAGATTAAAATGTGTTTACAAAATAAAAACTAAACTCAAATGAACAAAACCATTAATGAAACAAAGTAAAACTAACTCAAATTTACAGCAAGCATAAAAATGGAAATAAAAACTAGTTCAAAAATGCAAATAAAGCCATATAAAGGTTTGCTTTGTTATTATTTTCTCTGGTGAAGCTCTTCAGTGCAAAAATAGCATGATGTATGATTCATACACCTGGATTAGATTAGAAACATTAAAAATTATAAATGCGAAAACTAGTTACAGAGCAGTTACATAAATGCCAGTAAACGTGGCATGACTCTGGTGTGAATTACTGCGTGTGTGAATCAGAGCTTTTTGTGGAATGGGAACATTATCAGTGAACACAATGTCTGTTCTAGAGGGATATAAGATGGCTGAGAAAGACTTAATAGAATGCCATTTACTTTAATTGTCTTACACCAAGATAAGAAATCTAAGTTTCAGCATCGATATCACAATGTGATCATTCCCAATAGTCATATTGCGAGTATACGCAATATTGAGTCTGGATTATAATTATATAATGTGATATATATATTTTTGAGGCCTGTGACTGTGTGAGGGATTTAAAAACATTCAGGGCTAAGAAATTGTACTGAATTGAATTGTTTATAAAATGAAGACTATGCAGTATTGTTTTACATTCGATTATTTAACTACTGTATACCTGAATACAGTTCAACTCATCGAAAAACAAACGCTGTTTATTTAATTAGTATTTGTTTCTTTATTAAATTAGTCTATGATTGTAGGTTGTTTCTTATATTTTATGCATATGCACTTCCCTACAGATTCATTCCAATCAATCTAAAATGATAAATTCTTTCCAAATAGCTATTCAACAGAGAAGTATAGTAACGAAGTAGAACTACTTCACTACTGTACTTAAGTACTAAAAGGCTGTATCTGTACTCTACTGAAGTATTGTTTTTTTTTCTCCTACTTCCACTTTTACGTCAGTACATATTTTCAATGAGTTTAATACTTTTACTCCGACAGATTTTTTGTGTGCTACATCGTTACTTGTTACTAGGGGTGTCAAAATTATCGATATCGGTTCAGTAATAGATCATAAACGGTTATAACGTACTGATGTCATTTAACTCCAATGTGCAATATCGCAATACTATGGCGAAGGAGGCGAGGGCGAGTAAATAACGCTCTTACTACACAGCACACGAGCCGCTATTTCACTTCATTCATATGGAGAAATGCTGTAAAACTCCATCTTTACCTCTCTCTCTCTCCCTTTGGACATTTGACCTGCTGGCCTGTTTGTGAGGTAACTTTTCCTCTCCTTAAAGCTATACTTGTGGATCCAGACGTGAGCGTGCCTGAGGTGCGAGTTTCTCCACTGTGTCTATTATGGATTACCTGTGATGACCGCATATTATGTGTATACAGACTGAAACTGCGACTGTTCTTCCTGCCATCAATGAACATCGCTTTAATTTCTAAAGCCGATCGCAGCCCTTTCTGTTGAGCAGATAAGGACAATAATCAATCATAAGGGTGCCTGCAAGCACTCAAAAAGCAAGCGAGATAATATTTACACTAGTTTATTTGCTATAAATGCTCACGCTGTCTTCTGTGCATGTATTGAAGTTTTGTTTGATACAATCAGAAAGAGTGTTTTCTTTGAGCAGGTCAAATTAAGGGTACAGTTTATATATCTTACTGCTGTGTTAAAGAACAAAATTGTATTACAAACAAATATATAAATATTAACATATTTATAGATTTTAATAAAAAAAAATCTTGTGTTGTGAAGAAAAAATCTAATTATGTATGGAAAGCATCGTCAATGCACTGAGATATCGAATTGAACCGAATCGATGACATGATAATCGTAACCAAACCGTGAGACCAGTGTAGATTTACAGATCCTACTCGTTACAATTATAGACTTTTTTCCTGGCTGCTGTATGGAGGACGCCATAGTGACCAGCGCCATCCGGTAGAATGTTTAGAACTTCCGTTTACAGCGTTTACAACCGGTAATTTGCGATCCGAAAATGGGTTTCAATAGCGTTTTGAGTGGATTACGTAGTGTTTTTGTGAGACACAACTTTGAAAGGTGCGTTAAAGCTGTCATAATCTGTCAGATCTGTGGTTCAAGCGCATGAGAAAAACAGTATTGTATGCCATGTTTCTTTTCATTCTGCCTAATCACGTGCCCCCAAAAAAGATATTAAAAATAAACAAAACTATATGATGTATTTTGAATGCTTTCTATAACTACATTAAACAACACTTGTACTTTCAGTACTTAAGTGGTAAATTTTAAAATAAACTACTTGCAATACTTAAGTACAAAAAATGTTGAATACTTTAGTACTTCAGTAAGTATGGTGCTGAAAGAGCACTTCAACTTCTACTCAAGTCACTTTTTCGATAGAGTACTTGTACATTTACTTAAAGGTTCAGGACACCCTGGAGAACTTTTTTTTATATATTAACAGATGTGTGTGTGTTGAGCATCAGTTAAGACAATGTTAGCACCTGCCAGCTTTAATTGTGGGGAAAACTGGATAATTTTGAGCTTTTGTCAGCTAATTTCAGCTTCCGGGTTTAAAATGATTTTTGGGGCGGGATCAAAATCAGCGACGTAGCGCAGTACTGCAAGTGCAATGATGACGCGTCAGTTTCACATTATTATTCATAGCGAAGTTTTCCTTTCCTATGAGAAGAGCCCCTGCTTAATTATTCATGAGACCTGCCAGAGTCAAGGCCGAGCTGTGAGACACGTCACTGACCCGTGGCACACAGTATTTAGCTGTTCATGAAGGCTCATATGCGTTTGTTTCCATGATCCACGGGGTTTGTTGCATGTTTTCCCCCGCGATCTTGTCAGGGCCGATCATACAGCAAAGCTGTGTGTGTGCTGCTTGCATTTTTGTCGGGAGAGCAGCACGGGTATTAGAGAATGGCGGACGCTGTGTTTTATCAGGAGTTCGTTCACATTCAGACACATCACTGTGCTGCTGTGTTTGCCTAAATCCTCCAGATTACCAGCAGGGCTAATGGTTAAAATAGACAGGTCAGGAGACCTGCTGCACTGAGTCTGCTGGATACGGGGATCGAGGGAGAATCCTCATTTATAGGGTTTACATGAACACACTTATCTTTTTAATGATATAAATTGTGGTTATGTGTATATGAAATTACGAATAACAAATGTAGCAGGGCATTAAATAACTGTTCATTTCTTTGCATTTTAACTTTGTAAACTATAAACTCATGCGTCTCCTCACGGTTTGTCTCATTTTGTGAGCTAGCTTCGTTCGCTTACGTTCTCCCCTGCTGACTACGCCCACTCCTGCCCGATGCTCGCTGAGCTCCACGCCCATTAATCATGCATCTTTTGAGAAAATTCTGAAGTAGACTTTAACCGAAAGTGGGGGGTGTCATGGCACTTTAAGTCTGGGTCTCCAGTACTTTATACATCTCTGCTACTCAACACTTCTAGTTAAATTGTATTCATATTGCAATATTTATCGCTGAATAAAACAAATATTGCAATGTTTGATTTTTCCATGTCGTGCATGTCGTCCTACTTTCTGTTTTGTTCTATGTGAGAAAGTCAGATATTTTTAAAGCTAAATGAACCGCTGCTTACTAGTTACTAGTTTCTGGGTTCTTACGCATTTTTCAAAGTCAAATTTAGTCTTTTTTTAAGCACTTTTCCGGATGCATTTTCTAACATTTGACTGGATTGGTTTAATAAGCACAATACTTCAATCTGTTCATAAAACTTTCATTGTAATTTCTTTTCCATCCTTTACTGTTTTTTCACTGTGTGTCCATCTGTTTTATATTACAGTGAGGGCCATATCTGCTGTGGAGGGTTTGAGAAGATTCTGGAGACGGTTGTGGAGAAGAGAATGGATGAGATGGAGAGAAGATTAAAGGAACATCTGGACCTGCGTCTGGACGCTCTTCAGCAAAGACTAGAGATCACACTTCAGCAGGCACTGTCACATAAACAACAACAGTAAACACCGTCCTGTAAAACACAGAATTAATACTTCTAACAAGATCTCAAGCATGAGATGACAACCATATTATTCTATAAAGGTAAATAAATATTCAAGTCAACTATACCTATATGATAAAAATGGTTCTAACATTTTTGGCCAGCAGTCTCTCCTGCTTTGAGTAGAAATGCTTTACAGTTTAAGAAAACAATTTCAATGATTCAGTCTTAAGTCACTGTACTGACCTGGTTTTGCATAGTAATTAACAGTTTGCTATGTCGGTTGACTAACTTAAGTTCACAAAATTATATCAGTTGATCGTCACACATCACAATCACTCATGGAACACTTCTTAGTAACAGTTGAAATACAGGTAATAAATTATTTTATCCAAAAGATACAACTTGTGCTGCTAAAAGAACATTTTTTTTCTGTTATTCTGACTATTGCAAAATAAACTGTAATGCTAACAGCTGATTTAGAAGTTGTACTTAAAACAGTTGCACCGACGTTATTGAATATGGAGTATTTGTTACTGTAAATGACCTTTGTAAATGATGTTCATATGTTGGAGAACTAACATTAAACTGCTGTTTATACTAAAAATAATGTTGCACTTTTATTATGTTAGTTTGTCATGTTTATGTTTTGTTAAAGAACACTTTCATGCCATCCATTTTCTTTTGTTTTTCAAAACAAAACAAAAAAAACATTGTTATTGTAGTTAAATGTAACAATAAATTCAACATGTTAATCAGTGCACCACAAAAACAGATTTAGTATTAACAATCCATCTTAATATGTGACGTATATTTTATTTTGAAACAAACATTCAGCTTTTTTCAAATATACTGCATTTGATAGCACTTGCAAGCACCTGACACTAGCTGTGGTTCCTTCTTGTTCAATCTTTACGTTAGTTCTCCACATTATTTATAAGCAATAAACTATGTTTGCCCCCATTTAAAGTTTTGTCAATTAAAGTTGTGAATGTCGTTTTCTAACTTAAATATGCATTAGTGTGGACATCTATTGTTTTTGCCATCTTGAGTAGTTTATTATTATTATACTATTTTTTTATTGTACATTTTCATGTTTTTTTTACAATAAATTTACTGACCATACATCATTTATGTCTTATGGAAAAAAGTAATTTGGGCAAAAAAGTAATCAAAGTATATGTGTGAGCTACAGTACGCCATTGTGATAAAAAAATGAAAGGTTCTATTCTAACGATCTAGGCACAAAGTCTAAAGTGCATGGCGCAAAAGCATTAAGGGCATGTCAGAATCCACTTTTGCCATTTCAAGGACAGAAAAATACGGTTGGCGGCCTGGCGCATGGTCTAACAGGGTTGTGCTTGTTCTTTTAATGAGTTATATGTGTGTTTTGAGCATAACTTGCATTAAACCAATCAGTCTCACATCTTCCATGCCCTTTAAGAGTCAGTTGCGTTGTGCAAGGGCGTTACTAGGGTAGAAAGGGATAAGGGGAAGAAGCACAAAGCTAGCACAATGTATGTTTTTCTGACAAATTTGCATGTATTTACATTTATATGACGCACGTTCTATTGATTATAGTTATTTTATTTAATCAAAACTACACATTTTATACTGTAAAAAAACAAATGTTAAGCTTCATCAGTAGTTAGAACTATTCAGTTTTGTGAACTGTATTACCTCATCAGCTTCAGCTCCTCAAAATAATGAATGAATGAAGACAATGGAGTGGCTGGATTTTTTAACACCATGTGACAACAGTGCCACTCCCACCTGCCGGTAGAAACAGGTACTGCTGAACAGCTTAATATTTAATTACCCGACACAAACACTGCATTAAGTGGAATGCGCGTGATTTATATGGTCATTTTAAGTTCCTAGATAACAAAATAAATGTTATACAACCTATTTTTATTTAAGTGCAACATATTCCAAAAGATCAGGAGCTTTTGACAATATATCAGGGGCTTAAGCCTCCATAGCCAACAAAATGTGTCTTAACACACCTCCTTTCTAGATCAGAACACCCATGAGTCTACAAAGTGGCGAAAACGGATTTGCTATTTAAACAACATAGCGCAAATAATGAAAACTACTGTTGCGCTGGTCTGAAAATAGCAACAAATCAAGCTAAACATGTCCTGAACTTTATTGCGCCGGGTGTATTATAGGGCCCATGGGTGGCATGCAAACACGTGTACATGTCCTCATACTATGCTGGCTGATAGATTTTACTTTGCAAATTGTGATGTATGTTTATTTTCATGTGCTTAAAACTGTAACTTTAAGGGATAATTCACCCAAGAATTAAACAATAGTCATTAGCCCCTTTCACACAGTGATACCGGTAAAATATAGAAAATTTCCGGAACGACTTTACCGGTAAATTCAAAAAGTGCTGTTCACACAGGTGAGGACGTTACGGAATTTTTCCGGAAAAGAGCATTCACGCATCCATTCCAAAATACTGTTAAATTCTGAAATCATTAACCAGAAATTACCTCTAAATGGCTGCGCTTGTATTTGTAAACATTTGATTAAATCACAAACTTACAAACTGGATGGATAAGTATTGTGAACAACTTTGATGAAAAGAGAAATACTTTCGCATGTCAAGATGTACATGGTATGTGTGTAAGCTGGCGCTCGCATGCTGTTTCCCGGGCATACGCAAAGCTTGAAGTTAAACAAACAACTGCTTATCATAAGCATCTTATCTATAATTTTTTACACGGTTGGTATTAAGATGAACATATAAACGTTCTCGGACTAAATTCTAGCAGCTAAATGTGTCTGGAAAAATATTCAAAGTCTTTTATTTTCATAAACCGCATGGACGTGAATGCGTCTGACTGTTCAGATTGGCTAAAGCAGACGTCTCACTTCAGCATGTTCTAGACGTGCACGCGATCTTTCCGACAATATTCCTTCTGAATTCACACAGCGCAGCATTCCCGCAAATTACCGGTAATGTTACAACTTCTCTTTCCGGAAAATAGCCAGAACGAATTTACCGTTATTTTCAAAGAGGGCCTATTCACACATACACACCTTTCCGGAAAATTGCCGGTTATTTTCCGGAAAGGTCTGTATGCATGAAAGGGGCTATTAATCACCCTCATGTCATTCTAAACCAGTAAGAATTTCTCACATAATTTAAAAGGCATCTATAGCTTTTTGGACAGAAATGTGTGAAGGTATAGTGCATAAATTTATATTGTAGTCATATAAACGCAGCAGATATCTGTTTTTGAAATTCCTAATGTCATAATCCCAGTGATCTTGGGTTTTGTGCAACCACAAATTTTGATTGACGGGCACTTACCACATCCACAAGACAGGATTTGCAAAAAAAACTGGGATCAGATTATCCCTTCTCCATGATCCAACTGCATTTCAAAAGCAGTAAGTATTACACTTGACATTTTTATAGCATTCAGAACTATAATTTTTAAGATATGTAATTCATAATAATTCGTCATTTTTGGGCTTACGAATATGTATGTTTCAATGGCATTTGTGTGTGGTTCATTCATCATTAATAATAATGAATAAACTTCACAACAAAGATTATTAAATAGCCATTGTACAACTTCCTGGTTCATTGTGCTTAGTTTATCCTCACATCTGACCATCTTTTATCTTTTCTAAAGTAACATAACCAAACAGTGGGTGTGGAGAAGTTTGAGTGGGCGAGGAGAAACCAGTTCATTTGCATTTAAAGGCACAAGCTCAAAACAGCTAAAATTCCCTGTAACCCAAAAATGTATATTTACATAATTATATCTTGTAAAAAGGGCAAATTAGAAGTCCTTGAAATTGGAGAGCTCTCTGACCCTCCATAGAAAGCAAGGGTCCGAGACAGTCCTCTTTGCAGACCGCAGCTTGATGACGTAGTTAACCAGGTCCGTTACTTAATTGATGATCGCCTACACCTCCTTTACCCTTAACCCAGTCGTCACAGTTGCATGGGCACTACAAGGTATGCTATGTAGTTGATGATCGCCTACACCTCCTCTACCCTAAACCCAACCATCACAGTAGCATGGGCGCTTCCTTAGTAGGCAATAGAAGGTCAGATACATAGTTGATGATCATCTTGAAGGTTCCTGAAAAATTCTAAGCCCAGAAAGGGGGACACATGGACTGTTTTGACCATTTTCTTAGTACGTTTTTGGGCTTTGAACTTTTCAGGACACTTGCTTGGGCCGCAAGTTAAGACAACACACGCAAATAGGAAAACATGACCAAATTGAGAAAGTTTAACAATGTGCACACACACATTCTCACAACACATGCAAATAAAGAAAGGCAAGTAGCTCTAAACAAGAAGCAGCAGTATTCATCACTATTGGCATCCCCCAACACATTTCCATTGTGATCTATGCAAATTGCAGTGCATTGTTGTATTAGCATTTGTTGTGAGAATTTGCATGTTTTCGAATTGATAAGGATGTTTAATCTATTTGTTAGTTTTTTTTCTATTTGCTTGTATTTTTTATTTTACTTGGATTGAGTTTGAGCTCTTTCTGCCACCATAACTATCCTGTTTGATAGTATTGCTTGAAATTGACATTAAAACTTAATTTGCGACTGCCTTCTCTTTATTTTGACGTATCCAAGTGAATCAGTTTCTCAACCAAGAAAAGATGAAGGGCGAGACTTGATTTTTTCCAATGGGAAGTCACTGTATCATTGTTTTCTATTGCTCTAATGTGTGACTGACAGCTTCTGCATTACTTTCAAATAGATTGAATGTAATCTCATAAGGTGTTGAGTTTATAACTTCCTTAAAATAATCCTGAAAACTCCACTGTGAGTTGTTCTGGCATCTTTTAGGCACCTCATCTTTTCTCAGCAGTTCATAAAATTTTAGTTGTCTCAGAGCCTGCATTGCAAAAAAGATGTCCTTTTCCCACAGCCCTCTCTTGCATCCTATGAACATAACCTTGTGCTGTTCTTGGAAGTTGCCCATTAACAATGAAGTAGTTGCTTGCTCAGGAACAGCCAAGAAAATACAGCTGAATCAACAAACTCTACACTAAAGGTAACTCCACATGAATCAATGGGAAAATTAACCAAAAACCCTCCAAACTGACCTCTGTCAGTAGCTTTCCACTGTGACAATGCTGGTACTTTGACCCGTGCCTTGTCATGTGAGACGCTACTCGCATTGACATGGCTGTCTTGTGTCTACACCACACTGGTGTTCAGTGGGCAGAGCAGTTAAAACAATGAGCTGTTGTTTTCTTGTGACCAAGAAGAGACGTCCACTTCAGAAGGGGTTTTGTAACCACAGAGAAATGGGTCAGCAGTGGAGGTGGTACCGCTGATGAACAGCGGCTGCTTTTGTGCAGACACCCACGCCAGTATCTCTAAACACCAGTCTCAAACCTTTCCAGATGATCCAACAAAAGACATGCTGCTGCCACACTCCATGCAGACGCTCATGTACTGACCTCAAGAGAACAGCATTATGAAGTCTGCAAGAAATCTAAATCCAAAAGTCACAAATCTCCATTTATACATATATTTGAAACTTACCATTTAATCTTTAAGGTAGGGGTGCCCAATCGTGTTACTGGAATTCTGTCTACCTGCACTTTAAGCATTGATTTCATGTAGCCGAGTCCAGCAAGTAAAGTGCTGTGCAGGTAAACCTCACTAGAGTCCTTGGTTCTTAGCCCCCTTGGTAGAGCAATCAACTCCAATGTGGAAGGTTGCCAGTTTGATCCCAGCTTAGAGCAAGTTGGGTTATGTAGGACAGTCGGGATTGCATTGGTGCCGTGACCCGGGTGAGAGTGAGGTTTAGGGGGTGAGTGTAGCAGAGACCAGCTAGTGAAGTGCTGTGCAGGTAAACCTCACTCCTCTGACGTTTAAAATGTGCTCTAGCGACAGATGAAAGGTTTTTAGCCTCCTTAGTAGAGCAACCACCCCATGCAGAGAGTCACCGCTTTGATCCC